TGTCACCGGCCGGTCATATTCCGACTCCGACATCAGTAAGCGGAGCGCAAGGGAGCTGCGCAGAGAGCACTCAGGGGAGAGTGCTCCCTCGCCCACCCGCCAGCCAGCCCGCCCACTAACACCACTGGACCCCAGGGAATCCCCTCAGCACTCCTAAAGGTAGGGAGGCTGGGGGATCACATTTTAAAAATAACATGTGTATGTGTGTTAGTGCTAGAGTGTGTGTGTGTGATAGTGTTAGTTTTTGTGTCAGTGTGTGTGTTACTGTGTGTGTCTGCTAGTAAGTGTCAGTGAGTGTGTTAGTTTTTGTGTGTGTGTGTTAGTTTGTGTGTGTCTGTTAGTGAGTGTCAGTGTGTGTCTTACTGTGTGTGTCTGTTACTGAGTGTGTTTGTGTGTGTCTGTTAGTGAGTCTGTTTGATATCTGTTAGTGAGTGTGTGTTTGTCAGTGAGAGTGTATGTTTTGTAAGTGAGTGTGTATGTATGTCTGTCTGTCAGTGAGTCTGTATGTTTGTATGTCGCTGAGTGTGTCTCTGTCAGTAAATGTGTGTGTCTGTTAGCTAGTGTGTATGTGTCTGTTCGTTAGAGTGTGTGTGTGTTTAAAACCCCTTCAGCACTTACCTTTCTCCAGTGCCGGACTCCCTTGGTGCTGAGGATCCCTCCGCTCCGATCTGCCTCTCAGTTCCGAATGCGCATGCACGGCAAGAGCCGCGCGCGCATTCAAACCGCCCATAGGAAAGCATTACTCAATGCTTTCCTATGGACGTCCAGCGTCTTCTCACTGTGATTTTCACAGTGAGAATCGCGGAAGCGCCTCTAGCGGCTGTCAGTGAGACATCCACTAGAGGCTGGATTAACCCTCAGTGAAACATAGCAGTTTCTCTGAAACTGCTATGTTTTCAGCTGCAGGGTTAAAACTAGAGGGACCTGGCACCCAGACCACTTCATTGAGCTGATGTGATCTGGGTGTCTGTAGTGGTCCTTTAAGTGTGTGTGTATCTGCAAGCACTGGTGTACATACCGCAGTCGCAGGGATCTCAGCCCTGCGACCCCTGTGACCAGGTGCCCGCCACCATGTGTTGCGGCCCCGGCCTGCGCAGAGTAAGCGCGGAGGGGGGGGAGGCCCACGGATCAATTTTCGCACAGGGGCCCCATGGGTCATGTGTACGCCACTGCCTTCAGACACTTACCTGAATCCAGTGCCGATGTCCCTTGGCGTGGGGTCAGGATCCGCCCATGCTCCTCGACCGCCGACGTCCTCAGGCGGGGAGACCTAATGCACATGCGTGGCAATGGCCACGTGCGCGCATTAGACCTACCCATAGGAAAGAATTATTTAATGCTTTCCTATGAGGATTCCAGCGACGCTGGAGGTCCTCATGCATAGCGTGAGAACCTTCAGCGTTGTTTAGATGACCAAAAGTTGTCTAAGAAGCCGGAAGTCGCTCTAGTGGCTGTCTAAAGATAAGCAGGCACCTGGAATTCCTTTTTAAGGTACTTAAAAATCACACTGTTAACATCCCTGGATTGTAACAATAATATACCTTTAAACAGAAATCCTGGTTTTATGATCATCTAACTGCTATTGATTTTGAAGTTTGGCCTCTTCAGACCATGTTTGAGCTGGGGGGAACATTACAATGTATACCTTTTGCTATTTCCTTAGTATTAAAAACCTGTCATGGGAATGTGGAGCACTTGCCCCCCATGGTGCTCTGAATTGGAGTAATATTTCCATTTTGGGCTATATATAGACAATCAAATTCACAATCTTTGCATCAGAACAGATGACAAATGGTTCATCTACATACTTTTTTCCAGATTGTTCAGTGAGAAGGTCTGAGCTGGGAATGTGAATTCATGCATGTCTTCTCAGCTCATTGCAGAATGCTTGCTCCCACCATATGTACTCACTTTGTCAATTACTAAAATATTATTAAAGAGCTCGCAAGATATTCAGATGCATGAGCTGTACATAGTATTTTTGCACAATTAATCAAAAGGTAATTTATATAAATAACCTGTTATCATGGCTTAAATTTTATGCCACCAATAGAGATTTTTTTTTTTTAGTAGTTGAGTGAATCCCAATTCTCCTTGTAAATAAATGCTTTATTGTTGGCTATTAAATATATTTGCTAAAACGTACGTTCCATTCTAGTGTTTAGGTATCTAAAAAAATATTTATTACCGCCTCGTAAGAATGGGAAATAATATAGTAGTTCAGACAGAAATAAAGTCCTTCTAATACAACATTTAATTTCAACTTTTTTGCCAAAAAATGAAAAACTGTTAAGTTTTTGCCAACTTTGCCTCAAACACGTGGAATAGAAACCCTTATATAGCATAGCATTCAGATGTTGGGTTAACAATCTACAATGGTCTTGGAACAGACATGCAATAAAATATCTCCACTTGTTCTGTGCCAGACTCTCTGAAATTGGCTCATGGAAGACTGTTAAGAGTATTTGGTTTGAATAATAATTCAACGTCAATATTCCTTTGTGTTATTATTTGCAGTCTGTCATGTGTCAATTTCTCTAAACAAAGGCCTCAATGTTATTTGAATTAATTTAGTATAACTTCTTCTGTGAACAAATATGTTACCTCTAATTTATCTGGCTAAAATTGTGGCTTAGTTAAATCTTCAAACATATCTTATAAAGTATGAAAGACGAGGATAAAATGCTAAATATTTGTATAAACCAACAGAAGTTAGACCATGTTCTACAGGTATTACACTAGAGTTAGACAAGTCAGACCTTAGAAGCCATAATTCCACCAATGTTCATTTTCCCACATTATCTGGATGTTAATGGTAGAGATTCAAATGTTTTTTTGGGGGGAGATCTTTGTAGCTTGCATGGATGTTTCTGACACACATGATCTTAATGACTCTGTGATTAAGCAATAGATAACTAAATGTTTATTTAAGCACAAACAGGCCTATTTAATGTAGCCATTTAGGTCTATTCTACTAATAATAACCCCTTCCTTAATATGTACTTGGTCTTCCCGGTCAACAGTGGACCCCAGGTAAGCCACCCACACAGCCAGGCATACACACACAGCTCTCGAAGAGGACACATGCAAACACACAAAGGCACAACAGACACACCACCACTGACAAACCACATGCACGCATGAACACAACCTCGCTAGCAGCCCCCATATATTTACACAAAATCACACACACAATATGACATCACCCCCATACACAGCCCACATACATACATTGACACGTGTACAAATACAACCCTACAAAGCAGCTGTGCAGCAGCTATACATAACGCAAGCAAAATATAGCAACATACACACTCACTAATTTAAAAAAAATAGGAAGCACGCCAAAGGTCTTCAAAGTCTTGTTCTTGCACATTGCTGCTAAAAGGTTGCCTACAATTGTTATATATATATATATATATATATATTACAAATGTTAGCTTCATGTAATTGACATCAATGTTTTTACTGGTTGATCCCTAATTACGTTTTCGAAAAAAAAAAAATTAAATTGTTATGGAATTATGAAACCGTTGATTTTTTTTATTTTTTTTTAAACATTGCTTTACTTTCAATATTATGGTAATATGGTCTGACTAAGGACAGAAGGCATATTTCTATTCTAAACATTAGAAACTTGGCTTTTTACTTTATTTTCTTAATTAGAACCAGACAAATCCCGTTTCTAGCTGCATTTATCACTAAGAATTTTCGTGAGTTCTTGACAAATTGTAGTTAATCAGGCATAAAAGGAAAAGACCTTTTAAAATTTGAGTGTACATATGACTTTGTGGTCCCAAGTAAAATATTTAAAGGAATGATTGAAAATTATTCGAAATATGTGTACATTTTCTGTGCGGTGGTATGCCCTATTTCCTCTTGACAGTTAGGCATTAGGGTTTTTTTGATCCTATGTAAGGATCTCATTAAAGAAGAACTGTAGCCAGTCATATTTGTCCAAATTCAACTAAAATAGAAGTTTTCAATTCATTTTAATTTGGATTTATAGCATATGTGAGGCTATCATGATCTGACTCCATGAACTTAGAGAGCATGAGTCCCAATCATCCTGATTACAATCTAAAAGTGACTGTACCCCATAATCCTCGCACCAAGCTTGCTTATCTTTCATTATTATAAAAGCTGGTTAAATCCTTCCCGCTCTTAAAATGACATTGCGCGGTTATGAAATGTATAGCTGCATGGTGGCAGAAAATAAGGTGCAATTATTAATCAGCCATGAATTATATTTATGCTCTTTGTAGATAAACTTAGCAAAATAGGAAATTACACTGAACAAAATTATAAAAGCAACACTTTTGTTTTTGCCCCCATTTTTCATGAGCTGAACTCAAAGATCTAGGACTATTTCTATGTACACAAAAGGCCTATTTCTCTCAAATATTGATCACAAATCTGTCTAAATCTGTGTTAGTGAGCACTTCTCCTTTGCTAGATAATCCATCCACCTCACAGGCGTGGTATATCAAGATCCTGATTAGACAGCATGATTATTGCACAGGTGTGCCTTAGGTTGGCCACAATAAAAGGTGGTACTTCTACCACTGTTTCTCCACTCTTTCTTACTTGGAAAAATACTGATGACTATCCACCTTATATGTCTACCTTTGCCGGGTATTCCTGCAGTATGTAAAGAATGCTGTGACCTGAATGGAAAACTTGCACAAAAAAGGGCAATATAGGAGAAGGTGGGTGGGTACCTAATGCTACACATATATTCACACACTATACTTATATTTATTCCACCTAAATATTTGCAATGGAATTCTATAGAATATTGTGTAATGTGGGTAAAGGGCAGGCACACAGTCTTCCACCCCTGGAATCAATCATCATGGATACTAGACAGATGTTCCTATTGGTTGGTTTGCCCCACACCTACCATAAAAACACTATACAACATTGAATAGAGGAATAACAAAAAAATATTTTGGGAAGTAAACACATAGTTAGAAGATAAATAATAAATCAAACATTGCATGCTATGTTAAAAGGACAATTAATATGGACATAATTAAAACAAACACAGGTAGTTGTAATACAAAGCTGTTTTATTTGACATATAGAAATTATTTAGATATAAGTGCACAGGTAGATACAAATTAACAAAAATATAGATTTGTACTTCTGAAAAAAAGGTATACAAGTAGAAATGTTATATAAAAAAACGTCTCATAAAAGATGTGCACAGATGGGAGCTGCCTTCATGTGACCATTTATTCACTTTCACATTATGTGGGAAATCTGTTCCAGTGAGGAATGTAGACAGTGTGTATTGAATTCTGCTTTCTCAGCCTGAGCGGGCCTTTACAGTGCTTATAGGGAATGTATGTTTATATGTTATACACAGTTTGTTTCAGTTTAAATGAATAACACAGAAAACCTCAATCATCTAAATAAACGTTAACACACAGGGATTATATAATTGTATGCGTGTATATAAGTAAGTATTTTAGCAGTTTATTTTGGATCACTTTCCTTTCTATCTCTGCCTCCCTGCACCTGCATAGTCTATCCATACTGTCCTTTGGTGGTATTTGGGATCCAGTATCTGGTGGTCTAACTTAAGGAGACATCATGTCCTCTTGTCCTCCTTGTCTGCACCATGTTTCACAGAGTAACAAATAAACGTTGTAAAGTGGCAAGACACACAACAATCCTGTAATATTGATCCAATTAATTCCAATGTAACCATTTACATTGTGTTTTCCCACATCTGTCCTCTCTTAAAGTGGCCATCTGGATTCCAGGGCTGCCATGCTTAACTATGGCCTCACAGGTGTTTATGAACTACATTTTAGGCTGGCTGAGCATCATGGGAGATTGCTCTCAATAACATCTGGAATGTTATGGTTAAACATAACTGTTGTAGAATAAAGGTATTAGATCGCTACAATTTAACCTGACATGCACCATGGGAGGTAGGCAGCCTTCGCACTCTGGATGTTGTGAACTACATCTTCCATAATGCTCTTACAGGCATAATGCTGCTAAAGCCTCAGGGGAGATGTAGTCCATAACATTTGGAGTTCCGAAGGTCGCCTACCCCTGGTGTAAGATATAAAAGTTCTATCACAAAAGGAAACCAGTAGCAGAGCATGGAGAGCCATGGTCCCTGTACAGCTTAATCACTGCTCTGCAACCCTTGTTATTGAAAACATGTATGTAGTATAAAAACATGTATGTAGTATATAAAACAATTAGAACAAATAATCTGTGTATTTTAGATTTTCTGTCTAAATCACATTAAAATAAAGACACTTTCTACTTCTAGGTACTATATTAATGTGCCCACTGTGAAAATGTTGGTGTGAATGTTTGCCATCTCTGCAGAACATCAAAGTATATATTTAATTTTAAAAAAGGGTTTTGCTTTAAAGAACAAACACAACTAATTTATCATCATTTATCAATTATACCTTCTCTGCATATGGACATATATAACTTACCCTGCCAAGACAAATACACAGATCTGCTATTCTGTGAAGAAATGTAGATACTCTTCCTGAATTTAATTACATGCAGTGCCTTACCGTTTAATGATTTCATCATTTTTAAAAGGAAGTTAAAGCAAACACAGCATCTACCAAATGGAAATGAAATGCTTTGGATTTGAAGAAGACTTGTTTAAAGCAATTTAATATGCCTCTGTGTGTGCTAGAACAGATATGTCTATCCTTGGTGAAGATATTTATTCACTAAATGGTGAACAGAGGTGAGAAGTAAGTTGCAGAATTTAGACTAAAACAACTGACTGGAGTTGGAATTAGTTGTTTTTTTTAGGTTTTTTTTTTTTGGACTTAGAATAAACTGTTTAGCAAACGACAGTCGGAAATTGGATATAACATAAACTATTGAAAAACCAGTGGGTTATTCAAGGAGCTGAGCATTATGGGCAAGTATTATTGATAAAGGAATTAAAAAAAAAAAAGTTTAAGTTTGCAAATTTTTGCCAAAAATGTGAAATTAACAGGTGACATCCACATAATTACCCATTTAGTGAATAAATCATTTTTTTATAAGATTGAACCTATTCTTTTCTGCTTCCATTTGACGGCACATTGTTCTAATTAAGAAATTGGCCACAGAGTTTTTGACACTTCCAAATATACAAATTTTATACATCGTTTTGCTTTGTGGACAAGACCGGGTCAGTACTGTATATATTGTGTTCTGAGTGGGTCTAATACACACAGCTGTATTTTGAAGATTGACAATGTACACTTTAATCCTGCTGTGAGTTAGATACATTAATGACATCTTCACAAAGGAGTTTAAACATCAGGCTATGTGAATTATCCTCAATGCTCGTTCTCCTATGGGCATAATGAACTGGTTCAGTGCGTAGCATGTCTTGGGTTGAGTAGTTTAGCTAGCACTGCTCGAGATACCGTTAGCTGTGCTACCTTATGAAACTGGATGGATTCTACATGTAAGAAAAACTCAAGGAATATGCACAAAACATAGAGGAAATTTAGGATTTTTGTTCTATTGAATAATTCCAGCATCTTGGTTCAACTCAGTTTTGCAAGTATACCTTAGAGCAGGGGTGTCAAACATGCTGCCCCCCAGATGTTACTGAACTACAACTCCCATGATTCCCTGGCTATCTGTTTCATTGAAAGAATCATGGGAGTTGTAGTTCAGCAACATCTGGGGGCCGCATGTTTGACAACCCTGCCTTAGAGCATCTTGGTTCAACTCAGTTTTGTAAGTATACCTTAAAGCACAGGTGCCCAAAAGGTAGCTACTCAGATGGTTTAAAACTACAACTCCTACAATGCTTTGTTATTCTAAAGTCATTCTAGAGGCATGCAAAGCATCATGGGAGCTGTAGTTCTACTCTACAACATCTGGGGATCTACCTATTCGGTGCCCCTGCCTTAGCGTTTCTATGACGACAAAGATGCCTGTTTAAAGTGGTACTGTAATTTCTCTGATAGCTGCTCATTACCCTTCCTTAGTATTAACAGAAAGTAATGCAGCAGAGGTAAGTAAGAAACACACTTACCTCTGCATTGCAGAGAAATGACCAATGCAAGCTTCATGATCAGCACAAAAAATCCCACTTGCGTATCTGGCTAATCCTTCCATGGTGACAAATTATTTTATAAAATAACTCGAAGCTACCAGGTGGAGCAAAAGACTGGGATGGGACAGTCCCTCATTACAATGTGAAGTGTAGACTAGTCAGTAATGCTAATAGTGTATCTATAACCTTTAGCCTTGTAGGACCTGAGATGGGCATCTGTTATCCTTACTGTCCTGGCATGTGGTATGATTTAAAGCCCAACAGATTGAACTGGTTTTTAGTATCAAGATTTGGGAGGTGTTGGATTGTTGTCACATTAATGCTCACTAGATTAACAATCTGTTGATAAAGCAGTGCTACAGTTTAGTTGAGATTAAAAAGACAGACTGGCCACCCGAAGCCACACTCTTTGTTGTAGCTTACAGTATCTGATGTTATTTGTGCACATAAGGTTTATTCATTGAATAGGGGAATAAATAAGGCCAATTTAGCTGTAAAACCATTGCCCTAATTTTGCTTGTCAATTCTTGAAAACTTCTAGTCTAATGACCCCCCCAACCCGAGAGAGTTTACAAATGAGTCGATCAGACAAATTGTTCAATTGTATCTCGTAAAGAAAACTATTTTCTGAAAAGTATATTTCTTTTTCCCAATGAATTTCCTCCTACTCATTATACTCTAAAGGGAAACAAAAAACATTCAAATTGGCTGAGATAATGCATGGCCTGGCATTGATTTAAGAAGGATAAAATCATTGTGTAATATGTGCAGACTTCAGCCAATTGTACTCACACAAGCATGTTTATATAGAAGGAAAATTGGAATATAATGAAAACAGAAGAGGAGAAAGACGGGGGGAAGTAGAGTATAAGTAAGCAACAAAGAAAGATATCTTTGAAAGAAGAAAAGAGAATGTGAGGAGAATAATACACAAATGCTCGTAGTAAATGGACGTTTGGATGGATTTGCAGACCTCATGGCTAGTGTTACCTCTAAGCGCTTTCTGTTGACAGATCAGCACTGAAACGTTAAGCGGGGGGAAAAATCACATACTGCTGTTTGCATGGGGAAATGTACTCGGTCTAATGGCAAAGAATGATTGATATACATATTAGTAGTAGACAGGACAAAAAAAGAACCTGTCATGGGCAAAACTACTTTAGCTCTTTTAAAAGATCTTCAGATTCCATCAATACAATGTGCTAGCAGTACGGGGATTTAAAATAGTTTTTTCTCCCATTTGTCTGTCAATTCCTCGGCAGACACTCGATGTCTGAGAGCTGACATTTATCTTCTCTCTACCCATAGCAACCACAGCATATGCTCTGTGGTTACTATGGTAACTCCTTAGCTGGCGTTCAGACGCCGGCACGCTGCCAACAAAGCCAGTGTGGTGGCATGATGGAGGAGATTTGCCCTGCTTGGGAACACTTACAAAATTAATGAAGAGCTCAGGAGGGGCACGGGAGGACCAGAGTTGGGTATTACAAAAGTATATTACCGTCCTCTGCCCTGTCATGGTCCTAGCCCTGCCACTACTGTGCCCTGTACTACCACACGTCTAGTGAACTGACATGCCAATGAATAGTCAACAGACCACTTTAAGGTTTTATTTCTTAATAGCAGGTCTGCCAACCAGTGTGTCTTTCATTTGGGGTGTCCAAACTGGATTATGTCTTTAGTCCTTTCCTGTGAGTAACGCCGGTAGACCAGAAACTCTTATAGGAATATTCGATAAAGCAATTGTCTTAAAAGGGAATTTTAAAGTTAAGGCCAAAGTAGTCAGGCGGGAAATACAGAGTTGGAGAACTGTTCCAAATGGATATATTGGACCAAAATATGAAATTCACACTTTAGGAATGACCCGGAGTTATCTATGTTATAGTGAAAATCTAACAATACTTTTTTTGCTAGATTGAGTATTGCTGGGAATTCAAAGTGAATTTCAAATTTTAGGCCAAAATAGCTAAACTGGAAGCATAAGGAAATTAGCTATTTTTTTCTAATTCAGCTACTCTGGCCTTACATTTCAAAGTCGCTTGGAATTCTCATTGAATTCCTGATAATTCTCACTTTAGTGAAAAGTCCTGCAAGTCTCCTCTAACTCTCCAGGACTGGTTTTGTAATTAGTCATCTGAGCATCAGACAGAATAGAATCACTTTTATACCCAAAAGAGGGAATTATTGAGCGTTAACAAGAGAATTGTAAATTTGTGGTCCAAAAAGTCAAGCTAGAAAATATAAAAAATTAAATTAAAATAAAATTAGATACTTTTTCCAGCCAATTCCCATCCAGTTTGGACTACAATTTACAATTCACTTGCTATTTCTCCACGGTGCCCTGTTTAGTGAAGAATCTCCATCCAGTAGTGAAAATTAAAATTATATTTATGCAAGCAACATTTTTAAAGCCATATTCTAAGACCCACAGAGTTAAACTGTATATAATGAGTTAAAATTGTCCAAATTGGTTTACATATTCCATCTACGAGGATTGGGGAGCTGCTTTTTTCACCTGGACACAACCCAACAATTTAAAACCTTTTATCTCCAGTCTTACCAGAAGGCTAGCTAAAATTAGGGAGTGTTGAAGAGTAGGTTTTATTGAGTTGTCTGGCAGTCACAGATACAATAGATCTTTAATTCATTTCCTGCCAGAAGTACTTACAGTGCATGAAAGAGAAGTGTTAGATAAGTTCCCTGACATTTCAATGTTTTACTTTTATTATTAACTCTTTATTACGAAGGAAGACTTAAAACTGGTAAATCATCATCAGATTTTAGCTCTGCAAAATCTGGGGTTCTATTTGGCCCCCCATCTTATAGTTGCAATATCTAAACCCACCTTCAGATTGACTATGTCATGTATTCTTATAAATGATTGGATATAGGATGATATGAATGTATGAGATTTCTATTCTGAGTTACAAACAAACTATAATACAAAATCCCAGTCTGTTCGGGAACTAATACTATTATAGATGTTTGCAAGTGTTTTAAATTAAATACTCCTCACTCCTAAAACATGACAGCAAGCAGTAATGCTTTAAGGGTGTGTGTGGGGTGGTCCTTAAAGGCTTGCAAAGTATCCTGGGCATTGTAGTTCTTCATGAGCCAAAGAGATTTTGGCTATCACTTTCATCATACATTTTCAAAATAAAGTTTCAAAGAGATTTTGCAGCAGATATTCTAAACTCAAAATGTCAGAACCAGAATTAGACAAATTTGTTGTTTTCATGAAAGTCCTGAGATATTTGCCATTTAAAGAGAACATTTATAGAAAAAGCAAACACAAACTAAAAAAACACTTGGTATCCAAAAAAAAAAAAAGTTTCAGTAAAGAAAGTAATTTTCAGATGTTGGTACGTGTGTACCCCATTATTTTGAGGTTGTCATAAAATAAAGGACTCTTTTGGGAAAACTCACAGGTAACCTGGAATTCATTGGTACTGTTTGGAGTCTGAGGCTTAGACTATGCTTCCAGGCCAAACATGAATGTTGAAAAATGTTTGTATCATATCAGTTCTTGATATCAGTAAATGTATAAGCTAACGCTAGTTTATTTCTAATATAAAGTCTCCTAACTGCGTCATTTAGAAAATAAAATGTGTGATTATGAACAATGTTTACCTACTTGCAGGTACTGCTAACACTTCAATAGCTGCAACTACTATTTTATAGAAATACTCTGATATTTTTAACTGATGAAACACTCCAAGCACCATAAATCCTACATCCCCCTCAAATCTCTTGGTGCCCTTCCAATGTAGATCTAACAATTTACCTGAGCTCCACTGGACACCTGTCACTGCCTCCACTGATTACAGAAGCTTCTGAGTCATTGAGCAAAGCCAGCCATGCAAGCTATGCTCGTTGGCTGAGAGGCCTTAGACGGTGCTCTCAGCCAATGATCTGAGCTTGCATGTCAGGGCTTAACTTGCTACAGCTAGCAAAACATATATGCACAAGCTTCCAGCAACAAAAGCCAGCGGTGGCAGTCGCCCAGCAGGTAAATTGGCAAACCGTTCCTAAACAATTCGACATCTTAATCTGGAAGGGTACACAACAGTCCAGAACATCTGGAGTGCCGAAGGTTGCCTACCCCTGGTTTAGGCTGTACTTATAGTAAGACAGCTGTATAAAGGAGTCTTAAATGGTTGTTTACTGAAGTGGGAATTGTTGGGAATCCAGGTTGCAAGGGAGCTATGTTTTAGTATAGGTATTTTGGGATGAGACATGAAATTAACTTTAACTGTTAAATTTCTAATAATTATTTAGTAAATAACCTGATCAGTATTCTTCTTTGTTTCTTTGTTGAGGACTTCATGAGCATCCACTAACACGAGACAACACTTTTGTTTGTTTTTTAGCAATGACTAACTAATATTCATGATATACAAATTCATACATTTGTGACATCATCTAGCAATCATTATTTTATGACTTCTTGACAGCTAGTGAAATTATTTGTTTTAGTGGCATGCTATCTGACCTGAAGCAGAAACAGTGGAGCATGTGCAATAAAGTGACTGTCTACAACCTTAACGGTTTCAAAAACAAACAAAAAAACCCTGTAAGTTTGTTGCCCACCATTACTTATGAAATCCATACATTAGGGAGGCACATCTGGAAAAGTGTTTTTTATAGCATTAGTGACTTAGAAAGGCTGGTTTAGTTTATCATATAAAAACTCATGGCTACACGCTTTTAGCAAAAACTATAGGTACATTGAGAACAGTGCTGATTCCGTAGTGAGTCCATGTTGCTGCTAGAAGAATGATGGAGACACATCTCTACAGAGATGAGTCTCATCAGACGCTGGCAGTGGCAACTACACCAAGTGCTCTCTCCATAGGTTGCCAACTTTTAAGGCCTGATATCCACCCTCCCTTTGCCACTCTTACATGGACACACCTGTACAGGATTTAAGTGCCTTCCGTGAAGATCCAAATAGCAGAAAAAAATTGACTTGACAAAGTTTCCGAATCGGTGCAGCTATCCATTCTGCCATCAGTGCTGGCATCATGTGTCTTTCTTTCTCTATATATAGAAGAAGCACCATATGGTTTGGATTACTGTGAGCAGTTGGAAGACTGTGGGGCTGTTTGGAGTCAATACTTGAGGGTCAGTTTCACAGGAGGTCCCCTCAGCCACTGCAGAAGCAGAGACTTTAGGTCTTCTTCACTTTCCTGTTATTGAAACAAAAAAAAGATCGTTTAAGGATGTTGGTCCAGATGACTAAACGTTAGCTATGTACCTTTCTATTATTTTTGAATAATATTTATATTTTAATTTATAGTGTGTGCCCAGCTGTCCTGACACAGACAGGGCATACCATGCATATTAACAGGATCGTTGCAGCACTATAAGCTTGGAAATATGGCATGGGGACAACTACAAATGTATAGTTTAGTTTAGAACCAAGCCAGGTACATACATTGAAGATTGTTTGTGTGTGATTATCAGTTGCAAATTACTTTTTAAACAAAAAAATATAAATTTTGAGTAGTACTGGTGCATGTGAGAGTTTTCTGTCTACAATAATTGTGGATGCATGTGAATGTCTCTCTCTGTGTATAGTGTCATTGTGTATCACACATTGTGCACTGTCAGTGGATGCATGTCAGTGCTTCTCTATGCGCACAAATGTGTGCATGTCTGTGTACTGTGTGTATGTTGGTGTGCTGTATTCCTGTGTGTATGTACACTATCTGTATTTGTTATTTAGTGTGTGTGCAATATCACTATGTGTGCATGTCATTGTTCCTGCCATGTAAGGGCAAAATTGAGCTCAGATGACTATTCTAAGTGAGCATGAGTTACCTTTTTATAAACCCCTTGGGTGTCCCCATACCTCCCTCTTATTTATCTCATATTGCCCTCCAGCTTTCTCTCTCTTGCTTGCACAGGTGTCTGTCCCTTGCCTCCAGCTTGCCTCCATAGCTTACATACATAATTATCTATCCCTCTTTCCCACCCCAGGTAATCTTTCCCTAGTACACCATTACTCTTGGTTAGGTCTCTCTAGCTCCCCCAGTTATCTCTATCTCTTATGAGGAAGTGCCGTGAGGCACGAAACGTGTCAGCGGTCTTCCCTCCTGCTGCTTGTGCCAGCCATGATTTTTTAAAAAGAAGAAATAAAAGTATTCTTTTTAATTTCCTATTGCACACATTGGTTGTCGTTTTCTTCTTTTTTTTTTTCTAAAGTGCTTTACTCGTGAAGAGTTTGTTCTCTTTGTTTCCTTTTACAAAAAGTGCAGAGTTCAACAGAAATGCGCACTCTTAAAATTAACCTTGTTACACCTCCCTGGCTGTTAATCAGACAACCAGTCCTATTACTTCCTGGTTTGGTATGCTCAGTGGAGCTAAATTCAAGAGGCAGCAATTGCCTTGCAAAGACTTCTCATTGAGCTACACTGGAAAGTCTGTGATTGGACAGCCACAGAAAGTCCTGGGGGAGGGCTTGTAAAGGCAGCAGATAAGAGCTCGATACTTTTTAGAAGCTGTTTTTAGATATACCCCTAATGAAAAAGGCATCAGTAAATGTATGCATGTTTTCATTGTGGGCAATATTTACTAAATATTGATTGATTGATTGATTGATTGATTGATTTGGGTAGTTGAGTGACCCTTTAAGATGGTTTATAAAGAAAAAAATATCATTTTTGATACAATAGTTATTACTCAGCAAAGGGTATCTAAGGCTATCAATTGGTATAGGTTCCTAGTTCCATTATATTTTATCTGTATTGAATATCTTTTGTGTGTGTTTATATAACATGACAATCAATGTGCGTCTGTATATGAAATGTCTATGGTGTATACAAATGTTAGGAGTAAGTATATGCAACTAACGTGTGAGATTATTAAGTGACACTGTGTGTGGCAGGATGCGTGATGTATCTATGGGAGGACGTGCAGACAGTTTGGGTGTCCATTTAAAAAATAGTTTGTTTTTGAAACCATAAAATAACACTTATGTAATCTTCACTGACAGGCGCCAAAGTAAATTAAGTTTTGTATTACTTTGTGTTAATTCAACCCATGAGTGGCAATTTTAAAAGGTCATACATACACAGAGTTGGCAGGTACAGATAAATACAACTGAATGAGCCTGCCATATTATAGTCTAAGATTGGATTGATTTGATGGTTTCTATCTTGTCAAAGCTTTAAAATTATTTTGATTAATTTAAAATTGAACTTTTAATCAGTGTAATCAATAGAGCATGGTGCTGGATCCCAAATATTAATATTTAGAAGGCTCTCCTGAAATCATCCTATTGACCCCACTACATACAATACCATCAGAATGACAAAGACCACTCTGCAGTCAGGGCCGCCATTAGGGCCTGGGCCCGCACGCTGATGGGGCCCATCGGGCGGCCCACACACTTATGGCCACCCGATGGGCCCTATATCTTCAGGGGCCCGGTCAGCGCTGTGGCTGTGATATAGCGCAACCGGGCCCCTTTAAAAAAAAAAAAAAAGCAGCCGCAGAAAGTGCTGCTGGGAGAAAGTGGTCACTTCCTCCCAGCTCACTCCGCGTGGGAGGACCGCCAGCCAGGCAGTGAGGGACTCCGATCAGCCCCAGTCACCCTCCTGCAAAGAAAAGGTAAGAGACAGGAGGGTGGCTGGAAAATGAGCTGTGTGTGTGTGTATGTATGTCTATGTATGTCTGTATGCATGCATGTATGTCTATGTATGTATGTATGTATGTATGTATGTCTGTATGTATGTCTATGGATGTCTGTATGTATGCATGTATGTATGTATGTCTATGTATATCTGTAAGCATGTATGTATGCATGTATGTATGTATGTCTGTATGTATGTCTATGTATGTATGTATGTATGTATGTATGTCTATGTATGTATGTATATGTATGTCTATGTATGTATGTCTGTATGCATGTCTGTATGCATGTATGTCTGTCTGTATGTATGTCTGTCTGTCATGTATGTCTTTATGTCACTATTAATGTGTCTGTATGTCTGTCAGTATGTATGCTATTATGTATGTCATTATGAATGTATGTCTGTATGTATGTATATATGTCTATATGTCTGTCTGTATGTATACATGTCTGTCAGTATGTATGTATATATGTCTGTATGTATGTATGCCAGTATCAATGTATATCTGTATGTCATTATGTATGTCTGTATGTCTGTCAGTCTGTATGTATATATGTATGCATGTATGTCTGTATGTATGTATATATGAATGTATGTCTGTATGTATGTATGTATGCCAGTATCAATGTATGTCTGTATGTCATTATGTATGTATATATGTATGTCTGTATGTCAGTATGAATGTATGTCTGCATATCATCATGAATGTATGTCTGTGTGTATGGATGTCTGTATGCATGTATGTCAGTCTGAATGTATGTATGTATGTCTGTATTCCATTATGAATGTATGTCTGTGTATGTCTGTATGCCATTATGAATGTATGTGTGTTTGGATGTCAGTGTCTGTATGTCTGTCAGTATGTGTGTATGTATGTATGTATGTGTGTATGTATGTCGGTGTCGGTATGTATGTCAGTGTGTATGTATGTATGTGTCTTTACGTCCTCATGCATGTGTGTCTGTGTGTATGTTAGTATGTGTCTGTCACTATGTATGCCTGTGTGTCTGTATATGTGTGTATGTCTCAGTATGTGTGTGTCAGTATGTATGCCTGTATGCGTGTATGTCTGTTTCAGTATGTGTGTCTATTAGTATGTATCTGTGTCCTTTTGTATCAGTGTGTGTGTTTGTGTCTGTGTGTGTATTCCTGTGGGCGGTATTTGGAGGCGGACCCTGTGGGCAGTATTTGGAGGCGGGCCCCAGGGGGCCCAGACCCTGAGCTGAGTTAGGGGCCCCAAAATTTCTGGTGGCGGCCCTGTCTGCAGTGATGGCCTTTTGACATAATATAATATACATCTCAGTGGACTTTTAGTACAAACCATCAATACAACTGATTTGCCCCTTCCTCTGTACCACAAGCAGAAGAGGTAATAGGATTTTGAGAGCCACTTCAGGTAGGAGTTTCATCACACTAGGTTTAACTGCAACCTGTGTGTAGTATTGCTCTTTTGACTGATTCTTGACCTAATAATATTGGAGACTCCTAAACTTCTAAGGAAAGGATGAACTCCTAGAATTTGAGTTATAAAATACTGAAGTGCCTTTAGGGATAACTACTAATTTAAAAAATAAAAATAAAACCATAGGTGGTTCCATTCAGCAGGCCATGTATTGAGATGGGCAAAGTCATTGATTGTTGAATAGATGTGGACTACATCACCCATAATGCAGTCAAAGTATCAAGGGCAATGTAGTCCACAACATCTGGGGTGTCGAATCTTGCCTACCCATGATCTAGCCAGTTTGCTGGGCTGCTGTCCGCTAACACATGTTATCAAATATTAAGACTGCCCTGTTTTTGGCACATTTTCTCACAAATTCAAGCAGATAAAATCAGACGACATCTACACATGGTGCTTATTTCCTGTAGCAAGAAAATGGAATGAATTTGGAAAGGGATAGAATGAAATCTTATAGATTCCTAATTGATAAAATGCCTACAATTTCCCAAGTATTACACTTTCTATTACAAAAAACTGCCATATATATTAAGTTAATTGCACAGAATCATTTCGCATAATAGATTTAACAAGGATTTGTAAAAAGTTGAGCATGATAGACTTGAGATATTTGGAGACAATGTTACTATTTATTTTAATCCTGTATGGAATGTATTGAATGGAATGAATTGCAGCCTCTCGGGGGGTTGTTGATTTATCAAAATTCCTATAATTCACGGGAGCTATGAAGTGGCAAGGAATTATGGGCTTTTTACAACAGCGCAAATTGACATAGCTAATCTAAGAAATCTTGTTTGGCCATCAGGCATTCACATAATTGGGAGAAATTGCCCAACAATGATACCCGAATGAATGTTTTCATAAAGATAGAGACTTCACACATCATTTATGAATTCCATTACCCAGCTTAGAACATGATCCGTCAAACAATCTAGGCAAAGTATAGCACACTAACAGGGTTATTAACTAAAGTAGGAATTTGAGGTGAATTTCAGATTTAATGTCAAAGTAGCCAAATTGGAAACATTATCTAAGTCAGTTATGCTGTCAGCTAGGCTACTGTGGCCTAAATTTGAAATTCACTTTGAATTTACAGTGAATTCTTACTTCAGTAAATAATCCTGTAAAAGATATGTCACTATTACAATGAAAGCACAAATCAGCACCAACAACATAAAAACAGGATAATATATTAACTTGCTGTAGAAGGTTTTATCTGTTGCTCTGTAAATGTAACTTTAACAACGCACCAGAGGCTGCTGCAGGCTCTAGAAGGTTATTAACAGAGCAGGCAATATGAAATTCTAGATTAAACAGACTATGCAATAAAGAAACGTAGAATATCAAGGTTCCTTTTCAGTAAGCGTTTATGAAGGCTGTGCAATTTCCATGCAGGGAGGTAAAAAAGTGATTTAACTCCTAAATGGCAGATAATTGAGCACTGAGACTGCAAGGACATGATTTATGCATCAAAACTGCTTCATTAAGCTAAAGTTATTTTAGTGCCTATAGTATACCTTTAATCTATATTAAATATTAAGTACTTTTTTAAGTTAAATGAACAATACAGGCGCCAAAATATCTACATTGTCATGCCAAAACCAGATGAGTATTTTTGATTAATTTTGTAATAAATAAGCACAAATCTGGAAATGCATGCACGGTCAGTAATGGAGATTGCATCTTCACTTGATTCAAAACAAGAAATTAAATAAATAAATAAATAATCATCATCTATTTGCTCGTACGTCACTAAGACATCTCTAGGGAAGAATTTGAGCCAGGGGAATTATTGTAAAAGAAGTGTAATAAGAATAATAGATTTTATTTTTCCATGCCTTCATCTATGGTGACCAAAAAGTAGTGATAAATTCTCCCCGGAGTGTCTCTTTAAATAGCTAATACATTTTCCCACAATTGAAAAAATTCCATAAAATGATATGTTCTTTTTGTGCCACAGTACGTAACATATGCCTGAATCATAAATATGAATGACCACAGAATTGTAACTAAAGCTGTAGTGTGCGCAGTGATTATCCATTTGCCTCTGGCTGTGTTTCCACCATTTACTTTCTCTGTGTGGGGCCATTTACGAGACATCCAGCAGCTGTTTTGTACCGATACAAAAGATTTTACTTAAAATCATTACATTAGCTCTATTTTTACCAACCATGATCACAATGAGCATTTTTACGAAGGACCCAGAATAATTAGCCTATTGTCTTTAAATCTGTACATCAATTTCTGTGAGACATATTCTTACCGCAACATGAATGTGGGCATTTAAAAGATTACGCATAATAAAAGTTGGAAGGTGCATAAAAATATACTAATCTCTCTAGTGCCTAAAAGAGAATACTGGGTGAAGGAGGGGGCTTGCAAAGAATTCAGACAAGAGATCTGCAACTTTTTGCAAGATGTATCCCCAATGAAAAAAAAATGTTTTCACTGGGGGTGCATCTACTAAATATTTATGTATTTATTTATTTGGGCAGTGCAGTGTCCCGTTAAATTATTAAAGTGGGGAGTTCACAATTCAAAATTAAATCACCAACATATATATTGTGTCAGTTACAAACACTTGTGACAAGTCAGTGCAGTAGTTAATAGTAGATAGTTTGCTTTCTAACTTGCTCAACATGTAACTGTAAATTGAGTATACTCCATGCAGTCATGCAGTGTTTGCTAATTACTATAAGTAGTTACTAATTATCTTCCTCAAAAATCCTGCAGTGACTGTCATCCTCTCTTAAATAAATCTGTCATATACAGAATTGCTTTACATTCTCTGCAATCGGTTATTTTCAATATATGACATCAGAATATTGTTCTGGCACTTTGAGAAATTGCATTATGGAATATATCTAATTGCTGTGGATTGAATATTTAAATAGCAATTCAAATTTTATATTATCACCACTTCTGTATATTCTAAAAGTTATATTTTTCCTTTTTAAAACTCTTCTTATTCATTTTGATGGAGTAAGAGAGCTATGCTCAGCTGTGTCCATTCCAGAACTGCTTCCTTAGAAAGAAACACTTCTGGCTTGTCAGTATGTATTATTTAAATGTATAGCGCACACTTTTAGTTTTACCTGCAAATGATGCTTTCAGTGGCTTGGTTATTAAATACTGAGTCACTTAATGTGATTGAAATTTCTCAACATGGCCGTGTTCTACTGGCCAGCTATGATATATATATCTTATCGGGAGGAACAGGAAAAATTCTGTCTGGCACCGACAGTATATGAAATTCATATTCTACAAAATAGAATTACATTAAAGTGAACCTGTCATGATTCATGCTACGTATGTCCATTTAAAAGAGCATAGCATTTTATTTATCCATTGTGCTAGTGTTGGCAATTTCTAATAAAACCAAACCTTTCAAAGAATCTTTGGCATAGCTTCTAAGCAGAGGTTGGAGTGACATGTGATAGGCAGGATAACCCTCCTATAGCCAGTTATCCTGCTGTGATTATTCCCCCAGTGAATGCATTTTGTGCTCTGAAATGTAGGAAGGGAATGACATGTCACTCTGTTCTGATGATGAAATGTTGGCAATAAGTACACTTTGCCATGCTGGACCAATCATATGATACGACATTAGTGGAACACACTTGAAGACAGCATAATGGCGAGGTGAATGCAATCTTCATATCTCTTTACACAGTTAAATATAGCATTGATGCTCTCAACCAATGAGATAGCATGGCAATGCAGAGCACCGCTCAGGACAGTTAACTGGAGTTCCTGCATGGGAACATCCAGCACCTGACAGACTCCAGGTTTAAATCAAATTGTTCTAAAACTGTTTGACTACTCACAATTGCAAGTCGCCAGGGCACTTCTGGCACCATAACCACTACACTGAGCTGTTTTTATTGTGCTTGTAATATCTATTTAATGCTATCCAGGCAAAATATTGCTATGGTTTCAATTCTAATTTAATTTAAACCCAAAATTATAGTGGAAGTTAGCCTGTGATTTGACTTTCCTTCAACAAAATGTGTGTCAGATTGCAGCAGTTTAAATATAAATTAAATATAATAAATGGAGCGAGCGTTGCAGTAATAGTAAATAATATATAATTATATAAAGGAAACATGTGTAGTACATTTGCAGTGATTCCTGTTTAGCAGCTTAGCTGCATACGAGGTGATGTTTAAAATAAATGAATATCATAATAACATCATTCTCTTTCCTATCTCACTTTTCCTAAACCTCAACCTGCCTCCATTTAATCCTTCCAATATCACACCACAGTTTTTGACAGGATATTTACTTTTTTCTTTTACCAAAGAATCTCTGTGTTCTTTGCTTATTTGCATGCCAGCACCCATAATGCTCTTAGACACACACAGCTGTTCAGGCACGGCTGCTCGCCACATGTGTCCAGCAGATAGAAATATACATCATTAGTACTGGTTTATATTTTTGCACCCTGCAAAAAATTCAATTGACGGTTCAAAAACCAGACAGTTGTTAAAAACAATATTTCCGACACCCCATTAAAGGGACACTATAAGCACCCAGACCACTTAATCTTATTGAAGTGGTATGAATGAACTGTCCCTGTCCCTTTACCCTACAATCTAAACCATTGCAGTTTCAGAAAAATTGTAATGTTTACATGTCAGGGTTAAAACTGCCTCTAGTGGTTGTCTAACGGTGCTGTGCATGAGAACATTCAGCATCTACTAAACACCCATTGTAAAGCACTGATTCTATGCTCTCCTACGGAGAAGGCCTAATGCGTGCACGTCACCCGCTGTGCATGCACTTTATTTCCCCCCTCGGCACTAGTATATACATATAAAGTTTCATCGTGAAGAAGTATTAGGATTGAGATAAAAATTCACTTTTCTATTGTTTCCAAGCCCTCCCCTTCTTCCCCAGTCCAGACATTCTGTGGCTGACCAATCAGAGACTTTCTAATGAGGAAAAAAAAAGTCAGCCACAGACTTTTAGCTTGGACAATATATAATATAATATAGATTTAGTCCAGTACAGTGTTTAGTCCTATTTGGAATGTAGGGGGATAATAGAAATATTGCACTATACCGTTAGATATCACAGTACATTTCTAGAATCTGACACTGAATTAATATTTCTTTACATTGTCAGTCTGAAGTATATCCAGTTTTAAGTGTAGTTGTTTGCCTGGTAGCTACATATGTTAACTTTGTAATTGATTTTGTATCCAATTTATTAGTTGAGAGAAACATTGTTACTTGCTCCCCTCTTCTCTTGCACTGGCCTTTGTAATAGTTAATAACTAGCCAATATGATGACCATCTAACCATTAATATAATAAATTATAAGATGATATAGACTTCCCAGCCACGTTAAAGGGACACTATAGACACTCAGACCACTTCATCTCTGGGTGCAATGTCCCCGTTCCCCTTAGTCCTGCAATGTAAATCATTGAAGTTTTATAGAAACTGCAGCACTAAGACAGCCTCTAGTGGATGCCTACCAGATACTTTGGGAAGTTTTCCTGACTCTGGTCGCCTAATTGATGCTGGTCATCCAGCATCCGTAAACTCCCCATAGGAAAGCCTTGCATTTCTTTCTTTTCTTTCAAGCTAAAGTAGCCATACTGGAAGTCTGCACTTAGCAGTTTGCAATAGCTCAGCTGCTTTGGCCTTAAATTTGAAATTCACTTTTAATTCACTTTGAATTCCCAACAAATTTCACTTTAGTAAACAACCCTGTTAATCTTTCAATGTTACTGTGAATCTTAAAATTTCACTGTTGCATCCGATCGAGGCCATTCTATAAGCAGTTAAACAGCTTGAAATGTGTCATTGTTAGCATGTATGGCAAGGCTAGAGGTAGCGCGGCGTGATATTAATGGTAAAGTCCTGTTCACAAGCCCTTTAGCCTCATTAACAGATCTCGGTTCATCTCAAGTTCATCCCACCCATAGTTGCTCATTAAGTTTGAACATTTGTTCTTTCTTAGATGCTGTATTTCGATTGCTTAGCATTATTATTGAGAGGGTATGGCAACATTGCCAGCAACTCTCCCATCCTTGCCAACATATCTAAATACTCCATTCTGAAGATTCACTGATCAAAGGACAAACAATATTCTTTGTTAAAATTTAGGATGGGATAATTTTGCATTCTCAGACTTACAGCAAATTCCAGAGACGGGATTTATCCAAACTTTCCTGTGCAGACCGTGCAATATACAGGGTCCTTTTGTCCTTGTATCAGTCATTGAGGCATACATAGCTATCTATAGCTTTTTCTAACACTTAAAACACTTTTACATTTGCAAATTGATGGGAAACCCATCTCTCTTTGAGTATTATGAAGTGTCCTTTACACCATCATGAAGTTCAAGCTTCAAAATAGGTTCGTAATATTAAAAAAGCAAAAACAAAAGGAGAAAAGAACCATATTGAGATCAGAAGGTCAAGTGAAGGGGCGCCCAAAAGTTAGATCCCCAGATGTAGTAGAACTACCACTCCCATGATGCTTTGCATGTTTTTAGAATGCCTTTAAATGACAAAGAATCATGGAAGCTGTAGTTTTCAAACATCTGGGGATCTACCTTTTGGGCACCTCTGGTCAAGTGTGTGCTGGAAAAGTATAATTTGAGCAAAATGTATAGAAAGTGTCAGTAGAAGTGTATTAATAAAAATATATTAAAATAACTGAACTGTTCTTTTAAATGATCTAATGAAGATAAAATATAAAAGTGTTATTCAAAGTGAATTTCAATTTAGGGTGAAAATAGCCAAACTGAAAAAAAAAATATCTAACTCGACTATGCTTCTAGCTCGTCTACTTTTGCCTTAAATTTAAAACTTATTGTGAATTCTCACTTTATTGAATAACCCTGAGAATCTTTGCTACTACAACTAATGCAATACAATATGGAAAAGGTAGGAGGAAACCAGGCCCCAAAAAGTATATACAGAAATTTATACGTACACAGGTCTTTTAACGTGGTACACACAGTTGACCTCAAAGATAAAAGCAAAAAAATATAATAGTGCAATACAGCATGTCTAGTGAATAGGTGGTGAAGTAATCTTATGTGATTATCACTCACATTTAATAGAGCTAACTTAGAGCTCAGCTATATTGCGCATGGACAGAACAATCCCTGTCTGAGGATATATGATGATATGGACGTCCCAGGTGTCTCAAAGTGCAGTATGCAGGACATATATATGAATAAGTACAAGAAAAAATACTCCAATGGTAAAGTACGAACTAATAGATATAAATGAAGAAATAAAGTAATGTACTTACATTTAACAGAGCAGAACTTGCTCTAGTATATACAGCATGGGTGGTAAAGACCTGTGTACGTATACATTTCTGCATATATTGTTTTGGGTGCAGTTTCCTCCTACCTTTTCCATATTCCTCTATCTACAAGATTTGGGAATCCCTGAATTGGTTACTGCAGCCCACACCTATCCTGTGTTTAATTCTATATTAAGCGCCTATTACCTTTCTTTTTATGTAATGCAATACAACGCTTTCCCTGTGCAGCGTGACACAGTACACTAGTAATTAATATGTTTGGATATAATCAGGTTGTTGATCCAATGAGAAATCGGATTGCTATTATGGAGACGTGAAGAAATGTTTGCTCTTGGGGGTTTTTTTGTGGCAAAATTGCCCATCACTTCAAACTGTTTGTTTTGTTTTTCGAATTATTTTCGATCAACAGTATAAAAAGATGTGCTCTAAAGATTTAACTTGATGGACTTGAGCCAACTTAGATTATTATGTAACATGTAAAATTGTGACTTTAAAAGGACCCCTAAAGCACTTTAGCTTGCTGAAAAGCTTTGTGTGTGAAGAGCGTGTCCTATTTTTTTCATTTTGCAAAAAGATCAAATTTCAATGTTAATTTAGTCAGAGACTCCATCCCTCCACCAATGGGCAACTGTGAAAGGCTAATAGCGGTGAGTACGTACCTAACCATGCTCCTTCAAGACGACCTCCCTAAGCATCTGCAGAAGCTTATGTACCATGTCATATTTTCGGCCCAAAGACTAATAGCAAGAACATGGAAATCCTCAAATTGTCCCGCAGTGTCCACCCTAATGATGGACATAGATAAACAACGCACGTACGAGCAGGGCTTTAACAGGCTGTGGCCCGCAATTAGAACTACCCAAAGGGCATGGGAAGCTTGGGACGCATGGAGATTGGCACACTCTGCAAGTCAGAGTGCCCATGTTGTAACTATTCAAGAAGGAGAGATTCCTGCATAGAGGTCCGATGAGAGAGGATATTGTGATGTAAAGTTATGTACACCAATCAGACCAACTCTGTCTGTAAGAAATGTCGGCTATGCATATGTTGCTTCCCCCTCCTCCCCTTTTCTTCTATAACCCTTCCACCCCCCTGTGTTAAGTTTTTCTAGAAAAAATAAAAATTGGCAAATTTCAAACAAGAAATAGGCCTGTGACTCCAGCCTGCTTATGGCCGTAACCGAAGACGTGCTGATCACAGAGAGCAGAATGCAAGTCCTCCTGAGGGGCTCTGCACAACTATTCAAGCGGAAGTTTGTGGAATTGCAGCAGAACTGCATAAAGACTTCAGGGAGCTGAGGTACCACACAGACAACCTAGAGCATAAACAAGGCAAGCTATGCCTGGCTCATAATGAGATGGTGGAGAAGATGCAAATGTTTGCCATTCTGTTGAACAAACTGACAGACCTGGAACATCGCTCAAAGCAAAACAAATTTGACTGTGGGGGATTACAGAATTACAGAGAGAACTGTTCAGCTCTGTCTTACCCTCCACAGAAGACTCACAGCTTCTGTTAGACATGGCCCACCGGCTGCCTCGACATGAAAACCTTCCACCACCAGAGATACCATTGTGAGGTTCGATAACCATAATACAAAAGAAGCAGTGATGGCCTTGGCCCACAAACTTGCCAGCCTCCCTGAGCCTTATTCCAGGATTACTTTATTTGCCAACCTATCTGCTGCCACTATGGCAAAATGCAGGGATTTTTTTCTCCATCACCAAGGCCCAAAATTTGGCATACAGATGGTGTTTTCCTACAAAGCTCCTGATTTGAAAAAATGAAACCCTGGAACTCTAAGGGGCGATTACAACCCCCAAAGAAGGAATATACCCCACTCAGAAGACAATCTGAAGAGGTCACTATTCACACCTACCACAGTGACACCAGCATGGAGGAAGAAGGGCTCACCACCGTAAAATACCTATTCCAGGGCATACTATAACTAAAATCCCACTCTTACCAGCCAATGGTGGCACAGAGACTTCCAAAATGTTGAGGGCTACTGTCTGGTTAAAATGTTCATTTATTTTTAGAATAATGCTTGTTATACTAATAGGACCATCAGGGATCCCAGAGGCCAACACCTCTCACTCATAAGCTTATGAACTGTTAGAACACAACGGAGAATTCGCCCAGCACCTTAGCGACTGGCAACAGACCTGGCACCCAGGTACAACAACACTGAGGGACTTCTTACTACCAACACTGTTTTGCCTCCAGCTACCTCACTCTTGGGAAATCTGTGCCATTATCGTCTGGTTGATCTGAACTCAATGTTCTACCTGGTGGTATATCTCATCTCTCAGCTTGCTTACAGGTTACCTTATAAACCTGAGTACCCATCCTGTCAGTTTATTCAGCCTGTCTATAGATATCAGTCATCTACTGAATTATCAAAAGCATGTTTATTCTTTGTTTCTCTATTATAAAAAAGTGCATATTTTGTCTAAGCATACTTCACACATCTTGTTAACATGACATATCTAACGATCGACTCATCACCAACTGACATATCCAGCACCAGCATGCTTATTACTGAAAAATGAAAAATGCTTGGTTTAACTCGCTTACCCTTACTATAATATGTGCAGTCTTTCCTAAATGCCATGAAAATGTATAATATGTATTCATATCAAATGCTTGTTTATGCTGTCGTGGCAAACCATGCATGTTTGTATTTCCCTGCACGCTATAAATAAAGAATACAAAAAACAAAAAAAACTTTTCTCACAGTGCCTCATACAGAGACCTAAATGCCTTCACCCACTCTAATCACCAAAACGTGTGCAAAAACACTTTAATTCACTGAAAATGTGAAATCTATAAAATAAATAAGCAACATGCGCCATAACATAAAATGTGTAACATAATTTTAAACAAACCAGAAAATGTGCTGTGCTACAGAAATATCTTAATTCAAAATAAATATACATATATGTGTTGACTCCGTGTCAAAATAATATAAATATTCTAGGTGCATCTGCAACATAAAAAAACAAAATATAGTGCAGACAAACCATCCAATCAATGTGGTGTATAAATGATTGGAAGATTTGTCTGCACTATATTTTATATTTTTATGATTGGAATATTTCTATTGACGAGGAGTCAACAAAAAAATGCATATTACGGATAGTGTTGCTTCATGCCCACAGTTTGTTTAACCACTTTTTTACTGATGCGGGGTGTCTCTCGGGGTGACAAGCACCATGAGCAAATTATGCAACAATTACTCCTCTAGCATAGGTCCATACTCATGTACCAAATATCCACAATCGGTATAACTTCCTGGTTTATGTTTCCCTCACAATTATATAGCTATGCTTACTACTCAGTGCAAATACTGTATGGGTCTCAATCATAGTTGTTTCACTATATTACATTCTGTAATATTTTTATTTTTATTATATAAACTTTTATTGGTAATCTTTTTGTTTAATGTATAGTGCATTACATAATAGAATTCACTGCTCTGTCATACATGTGTCATTCTATAAAATTTACTTAGGGGAAAATGCAAGCCTTAACTTTATCAGTTCCAAAGGTGATGTTACAGACTATGAAACAGCATCATGGATTTGACTGGAGACCTACCTCCATGGGATACTTAGGGATACGCTTTACTAGTTCTCTTGCCAAGTTCATCAAAGAGAACAATAACAGAATACTTAACCAGTTTAAGTTATCCTTGACGGGGTGAGATGGCCTGGAGGTGGCGTGGCTGGGGCTGATCAGCATGGTCAAAATGATGACACTATCAGTTACATTATACCTCTTCCACACAGTGTCTGTATTTATTCCTACCTCTATATCAAGTATACTTCAACAACTAATTAATGCAAATGTTTGGAGACACAGATCACTAAGACTACCTTTTGCCACAATCCGACTGCTTACATAGTTTGGTGGATAAGGGACTATTATAGTGCCACCATTATGTCAAATTGTGTGCCCTTTCTGCCTCAAAGACACTCATGTGTCTATCTGGAGGACTTGCTCATGAAACCCTACACCAGTCATCAGTTATGGGTTCCACCACATCTGTATCCAACTACTAACAAATTACCTCAAACGTTAGACTCTCACTTTCCATATGGCACAAAGGGAGCAATAAACGTATCACCCTGCTCCCAAAATTATCACTGTACACACGAAACCTTAACCTCAAACCCTGGGTACCTGCAGACATCACCTGAGTCCGCCAACTACTATCAAATCCAAGTTAAAGCAATTACAAGATCTTAGGGACAAGTTTTGCCTCCCACAGGAGGAGCTATTCATCCACTTACGAATTAGAAATATCCAAGTCAGACAAAAAATAGTTCTGGAGTTGGCCCCTCAGCTCAATCCATTCCACAAACTATGCATAGGACCCCTGGCGTTAAGCTATGAAGCCATTGCTAGTGCAACTCCCTTACCCAGATGCCTTACATGTTAAGCTGGGAAAAGGAGCAGTGGCCTAGGGCCATCTCCCATATGTGTGGCATGTTTCTGATGCTTTGGGATACCCATCATAAGTTACTAATGATGTGATACCTGGTGCCGCAGAGACTGGTGCTAAAAATGCTAGTCAGCCATAGGGTCTCTAGCCCTTGTTTTCTGTTACTCCACATCCCTACAACAATACTGGGAGCAGATATATTAACTGTTTAAAACACTCACCAATATTAATTTATCTATGGAATCACAGGCCTTGGGCCAGCTCCAAGACACGTTGCACCATGCAGCTAGGAAGCTGACTATGCATGTTTTGGTGGTAGCCAGGCTTTGGATAGCCCACCAATGGAAATGTCCCACTTTACCTAAAGTATTCTAGGTAGTGGATGCTCTTGAATCCACCAAACTGTACAAAACTACCACCCACGGACTAGCGAGCACTATATAGAACCATGAGAAGGTCTTGGAATCTTGAGACCAAGCAAGGTCAACTCTACCAAAAAGAGTACACTGAGACTAAGTGATGAGCTGATGGAGTTATAATTGCCACTAGTAAACTATGTTACATTGAGATATTGATGTGTTTAATACTATACAACTTGTCAAATTATGTACGAAGATTGATAGACTTGTTGAACTTCGAGCTCCAGAGGACCACTTGAATAAAATTAAGCAATTACAGTGCCTACAGCCCCACATCATGCTGTATTAACTCTGCACCTACTGTATTAACCTCAAACTTATAGCATTAAACCTACACCCAGTGCATTAAAACATTGTACCCACAGCAATACCCTTACATTGCATATAAATAACTTCAAATATGGTGCATTAAAATAGCACTGCCATAAAGTATGTAACTATTATTTCTCTTTCATGTTAACCAGAAATGTTAATAAAATGTTTCATGCTTTGAAGAAGACTACTCTATTTTACAACAATAAGGTTTCATAAAGAAAAAGTTAAACGTGTCAGTAAAAAATCCAAATAGCATATATAAGATATGGGTGTATAATTCAAGCTATTTAAAGTGCCAGGTAAATAAAAAATGGTAATATATATATATATACTCATGTCAACAGGTGCATATATATTGTTATACTGTCTTTTAAGATGTTTGTTATGGTTTACTGACTGCCATTAAAGCTCTTATTGATACGTATTGATACTGCCCAGCAATATGTTTTTTATTTCATGTAATTGCTCCTAAACGGTTAATTTCAACGTATATTTTCTTTGCTTCAATCTTTCCTCATCTCTTCCTCACTCCTGATCTGTTCTTCTTTTCTCCTAAATACATAAGGTAAAGTAGAAGCTACTTTGTCCTATGTATTTTTCCTCCGCTTGACAAAACTTGCCAAAATGTATAGCTAGCTTAGACATCAGTGTGCAAAAGTACAGCACTGATGTGGATTCCTGGCAAACGAAGTGCCAAGAGCTGAAGCCACCAGCAAGAAGACAATGGCGGTCACCGTTACCGACAGCTTCTGGTAAGTAAAACTTTCCTTCCACTGCACCCCACGGCCACTGGACACATAGCAGTGAAATCACACTTAATGCAAAGACCCCAGAAGGTGACAGAGCCACCTCAAAGGGAGCATCTGCTTAATTTACTATAAAATGATAAAAACAGGTTGATTTAAAATGTTTATCTAAATATCTCTGAATGTGTAGATTAGAAATTAGTTTAGCCACTTACCTGCATTTTTGTAAAGCTTACTTCATCTTTAGCATAACCTAAAACTCCAAGAAAGTTGCATATTTTAAACCCACCAGCACACTATGAAATAAGCCCAAAACCTTGAAAGAAAAGCCATTAGTCTTTAACCTTAGTAGACATCGGGGGGTTAATCACTAAAGGATGAGCACATCAGCCATAATTCTACAAAAATTTTCTCTCAAATTCTCATCTTGGCATATTTGTCAAAGACATTTTAGAGCCAACTTGTTATTCTAGATAGTTTACTATGAAACATATTGACAGAACTCCATAAACCATAAACAATATAGTTAACTGTATTAGTTATGGTGCCAATGACTCCCTGCCACTTACCTAATGTAAGTAGTTTGCTTACAGTTTGACAATCTACTTGGAGTCTACTGGGCGCCAATCACCTCCTACATTGAGCACTCTATAATGGTTGGAGAGTTTCTTTAACCTAGGTGCCTCATCTAACTAAACGGCTTTCCAAGAGCTAAGCTCTTTAGTAGTTACTCAATGTAGTAAGTTGGGACTCAAATCAGGGCAACATCAGGAAACTTGGAACCGCTCACTGAATTATTGCTTCCTGCTCCTTCTAGCTTAATCTAAGTTACAAACCATTATGGCTGTGATGACTTTTAAGAAACAAATCATCTTGGCTTTGTAAAGGACTTTTGTAAGAAAATTAAACTTGTAATAATATTAAAAATTGTTCTTCAGACCTTATTACTTGGGTGAAAGAAATTAAAGTTTGCATTTAAATTTAAATTGGTCTGATCTTTGATAAATAGTCTTTTCACCCATTTGGGGTGAACACGATTTTCCCATAACCTCTTCACATGGAATCCAAATCCAACAATATAGATCATAATAGTGGTAACAGAAAATTGGATCAGAGGACTCCTATTTTGACAGGTTTCCAACTCCAGCTGTTTAGGTAGTTGACCCTTTTATTGCAAATGATTTTGCACTCCACCTATAATGGGCCAATCACTGAGAAAGTTCACATGTCCATCCATCATTAAACAGAACAGTCTTCTACTAGTGGAAACAGGATTAGTTTGTGGTGATGATTCCCTGATGAGGGATCAGGTTTTGGGAAATGTGGCCCATTCCTGTAGCTCATGCTTTGTCTTGGCCAAGTTTCTATCCTTGGTTGAAGTCCAGAAGAATGTTGACTTGTTGAGACGTTTTCCGTGAAGTTAAGGGAAGCTGAATGTTTGCGCGTACTAATTCAGCATATGCATGATACAAAGTCATTTTGAAATACATAAAAAATCTGCAAGTTCATCAAAGTCTAAAATGAACGAATGATGGCATTCTACATAGCATTTTGCCAGATGTACAGAAAATATTTTGTATTTCATTACTTGTAAGTACATTTTACTTTATTTAATGCACTCATTCATTCAGACATTAAATATGCTTTTTCCCAACTTTGCAAGACACAAAATAATTTAGTTGCTACTAAAGGTGGCAATCATTATCCCATATCATTACCTGTGAAGATGATGAGCATTCTACATGTTGAAGGCAAGCTTGTCTTCCATGCAGTCCACTACCTTATGTGAATATGAAATGTATATTGAATGTGTTCTGTACGTAACATTATTCCAAAGCAGAAATGTGAGGTGGATAATAGCCTATAATGAGAATAGCCAAAAGACAGATCTCCAAATGTTACAGATCTTCAACTCCTATGATGCTTTGCTAGCCACTTGCCATTAGTCTGCCAAATCAACATAGGATTTGAAGTTCTACAACAGCTGTGAATGTAGAAAAAGTGTTTACTGTGTACAGTGCGCTTAAAGATAGCACAGTAATAAATTAAACAAAGCTGCTACACACTCTAGTAGGTTTCTCTTTCACCAACTATATATTTACTAGTGTACAAAAAACAAACCAGTTAGATGTGAGTAATACACTCAGATCTATACTAATTGTGTGAGTGGAGCGCATCAGATGACACTAACGCTGATGTGATTTAAGCCTGTCACCTAGAGGCTCTTATCAATGTGAGTTAATACACGTTTGTTGTACCTTTTAAGCCCATATTTTGTGGATTTATACTATATTGTTTTATCCTGTTTACTTTACATGTACTCACTTCACGCCTGAGTTCAATACTCTTTTTAGGGTGTATACCCTCCTTCTATGTTACGCTCCGCTCACACAGTTAGTATAGATCTGGATGTATTACTCACATCTAACTAGTTTTTGTACAACAGCTGTGGATGTACCTTTTGGCTTTGCATGGTTTTAGTGTAGACCGGGGTATGCAACCTTCGGCACTCCAGATGTTTTGGACTACATCTCCCATAATGCTTTTACAGCTACAATGCTGGCAAAACATCAAGGGAGATGTAGTCCACAACATCTGGGGTGCCGAAGGTTTCCTATCCCTGGTGTAGACCATGTTTTTTTCTACATTCATTTAGTGTTCTGCTTGGTCAGCTATAGTGTAGACTCTATGCTATAGCTGACCCCACAGAACACCAAAATAATGTAGAAAAAACATGTTTAAGGGGACTATCTAAGCATTACAAACACTTCAGCTCATTGAAGTGGTCATGGTGTCTTAATTCCTCTGGTGACATCCCTGCGTTCAGTCTTAGTTTTTTAATGGTTTAACACTGAATGAAGGTCCTTGGGCACCTAGTGCCTGGTTACTGATGGAAGTTTGCCTAAGGTGGACATTATACTCCACCTAAACCATACCAATTCATACCAGCAATGGATGGCAGTAATAGCCTGAAATAGGTGAGCTGACACTCTCAGGCAATAACTGCCTCTCCTCACCAATTGGGCTAATTCAGTATCATTAGTCATTGCCAGAGCTAGGCTGCAGTCTGCTAGGTACTCTCATTTAGTGTTAAACCATTCAGATGGCACCAAGGGATTCAATCAATGAGATGGAGTGGTTAATATGCCCATATTGTCCGCTTAAAGGAACTCTCAAAGTGCCATAACCACTAAAGTGATTATGGTGTCAGGAGTACTCTGGTGCCCCACCAATGTAAGTAGTCAAACTGCTAAACAATGGTTTGACTTCTTTCCTGCTCTCTTCCTCCATTACACAAACAGAAGATTTGGAAGTCTGCCTGTTAGCCCTTCCAAGCTAATCCCAGTAGTGCATGGCTGCCTTATAAGCTGACCACTCTCAGCCAATGAGCTAACCCTACACTGCCGGACTTAGCTCAGACAAAAAGCTTCCAGCTCTCCTGTATCTTTACTGGAGGCAGGAAATAAAGGTAAAAAGTAGACTGTTCTAAAGCAGATTGGCTAATTACAATGGGAGCGGGGGGTGACACCTGGGTACTCCTGGCACCATAACTACTACAGCACACTGAGCACACTGTAGTTTTTATATTGCATGGAGTTTTCCTTTAAGAGCTAGTTAAAAGGCAAAAAAAATTTTTAATGACATAACATTTAATGACGCATCACAGTTTCTCAAATATAACTGTATTTCTCATTACTCAGCGGTTTTGCAGAACACTAAGCAAAAAATCCTATTGTCATCCTACATTTGAAAAGCACTCTTGATTGATTAAATGTTAACTTCAGAAAAATTACACCATTTATCCATTTGAGTATCATTTACTATTTAAAGCGAATTTCTAAATTCTAAATTGAATTATAGTCCTTTGATATGATTTAACTGAATTTCTACATTTGGCTTTTTGAACTGGAATAACTATAGTTGCTTTTAATGGCCGTTTCCTCTTAAAGAGAAAGTATTGTGATAATAAATAATAGTGTTATTAAACCTTTTTATTTTTATTTTATTTTAATGGGTATCTTATTGCAAGGATGTTAGAAGACATGCTTTAACACAAGCTGTACGTGATGTTTCTATAAATTAACATAAACATAGAGATTTTAACCTCAGTTTGTGTATTTTCATTTGATTAGGAATTCCGTAGCGTGAATATTAGAAAGAATGCTTAATTATTTTAAATGGACATTTTAAGCACTGTAATGCTAATAGACATTTTGGGGTTTAGACCCCAATATTTTCCTCAAACTATTTTTAATCTGTATTACAAAAACAAAGACTTTCTCAGCAGCATCCAACACCCAACCATTCTACTGTCACTGTGATAATATGGATGTTGAATTTCCACTTAAAATTTCCAGTATATACATATGTACATATTTAATTGACAGTGATCGGCTGGGGTGCCTTAACCTAGTGCTCATAGCCTGTTATTGCAATCCAAATATGGACATATGTGCATAGGTATGCAGAAGTGACAATTCCATATTATTTCAGGAACAGCAGAAGGTCCAGAGTGACTGCTCCCCAAAAAATGCTTGTACCATAACCACTGAGAGTGATAACCTCCCTCTTTCCCACTCTATAACTCTTATCAACTTCCATTAGATGAGTGGGATAAATTGATGGATGAACATAATGCCAATTAGGTAAAGATGGAAGCTCAATAACATATAGATATTTGTGTCCAGAAAATACCGGCTGGCTTCCATGCTTGATGGCCTACTACTACAAACGCACCAGCCCCACCCAGAAACTATCTGTATTATAGGGTTCACCAAGTTGTGACCATACCATCTACATCTTTATGGTACTTAAGGCTCATACTGAGCATGCTCACTGTATAGGATGGTACTGAGCTGTGATTTTGTACTATGCCACATCTGTGTGAATACCCTGTGGGTCTTCGCTGTTGCCTTAATTTTGTGGTTGGCCACTTTTCTGTGAACCGTTCATTTGAAATGGTTATTCACTTTACGTATTAAAAGAAAAAATTTTTTCTAAAATTGTGTCTGATCTTTTCAAACCATGTCTAATCTATACCTAAAAGAAATGAAATGTGCTTTAAAGCTTTAAATGTAATATCACCTCTCATATATATTGTTTCCCTGTAAGATGTATCAGGAGGTGGCAGTTGTTAAATTAATTTCATCTGTTTCCACATGGCAAAGGCATGTTTTAAATTTGGTGAGATAGAGGTAGCCATAAAATCGCAGCAAGCTTGGAAACCAGTTGGTAAGTACAGGCTAAAGCAACACTCGCTGTAGTGGTTATAGTGTTAGGAGCGCCCTTGCGCACCCCTCCCCTCCCCGTGAGGAGTCAACCCGTTTTTTAATTGTTTGACTTCTTACCTAAAATCATTGGTGTTGTTTTGCAGTTAGGAAATTGCTGCTTCTTGCTGATATTTATTAATAAAATTTAGCAACAACATTGGAAGCAAAACGATGTGAATTCAAAAATTGTTGGCCAAAAAAGCTTAATTGGAAACATATTGGCTATAATTCTGTCTCTGCTATTTTGAAATAGACTCAAGAGAAAAAAATAACCTCCCCAATCAATTCCTAACAATATTTGGTGTAGTGAATAATTCGGAGTGCTTTTCTTAAAGGTCTGCTTAATTTAAAACTGACACCGCAAAACCAAATGCTGAAAGTGTCACTAAATTTCTAAAAAAAAAAAAAAAAAAATGTTTGTCTTTTTTAAATGTAAAGGTTTTTTTATAATTACCACAAATGTTATTTTTTTCTAGAGGTTTTATTCTAAGTACAAATAATAAATCTGGTTAGAAACTGTACCTCACAGCTATTATCAGAATCATTCTAATAATTAGATTGGTAAATTAACATTTGCAACCACAGGTAAAATGACAGGCACATATTGACATCCTCACACTGGTAATCCTCCAAATTTACTAAACCTCTGATTAACAATGTGAGGCTCAAATTTAAAAACTGAATGTATTTATAACAGTTTTTCACCATAAACATGGAACCAAAAATTTTGTTGCATTTTAAAACGTACCTTTTCACTAAAAACAACTTTAAGTTAATCAGCAAAAGACACAAAATTCACAAAAGATTGTTTTTATTAATTCATTTATTTGTTTTTAGAAAACCTTTTAACTTACCTGACTTGGAGGTCAGTATCTTCTTGTTAAGAATGTTTCCCATCATTCGGTAATATTGAGCAGAATGAACTTCATGAAATATTTTTAATGACATATAATCTTGTTACTGCATATTGTTGATTGGTTATATCTCTGTCATTATTATAATGTATAAATTATCAATGGCTCAATAAAATAATATATATTATTTTATAATATATAATATATATTATTTTTATTTATTTTTTATTTTATTTTATTATTATAATAATTTATTTATATATTTATTTATTTTTATTATTATTATTATTGGTTATTATTTATTTATTGTTCACTGTGAATTAGCATGTTTTAAATATTTTTTTGCTTTTATACGTGACAGAAAAATCATGACATAGAAGAAAACATTCTTAAGAAAATGTGATTATAACACATTTTGATTAATAAACATCGTGACAGGATCCAATCTATTAATAGATATAATATAAATCATTAATAATTATAAATAGAAGTTTTGTGCACTGTGATTATTAGTGCAAAGTTGTGTTTATGGTTTATGCCCTTTTTGTAACTATACTTAGTGTCAACCGACTTGATGAATTGACAACTGAATTTAAAACGTAGTTGTCAGTTAATCTTAATTCTTTTTTTTTTTTAAATAAACATGGACTCCTGCAATGAATTTTAGGCAAAATACAAAGAAATTTGGAAATACATATTTTTTTAAAATTATACTTGTAATATCTTGGCTGAATTAATAGTAAGTGTAGTTATAAATACTGGTTTTAAGACGTGTTATATATGTATATTAAATTTACTATTTAAAGATAACTAAAATTATAGGTTTTTTTCCATTAAAAAAAAACATAGTTGTGACACAGTTGTATGTAATGCTATGTTAATGTTTCCAGATTTGATTAGAAAATAATCTTTTAATATCTACTTCAATACTGATAAGAGGGCAATAATTGATGTAGAGGACCTGCCCAAAATGTTTCATTTTTTTAATAATGTTAGAACCACTGTCAATATTTGGATATATTTTTAAATTATATTTTTTTTAGTAAAAACACAAAGAATTTGTGGAGCATAATAAAAAGGTTAGCTAGCAAATTAGGAGCAAATTAAGATGGAAAGCATGTTTTGGGGTGACCTTTAAAATTAGTATTGCAGCTCATGAAAGCAAACTTGAATAAATTTGGACCTTACAGGCTAACGTCAACATACACTCCAGTGATCAATTAAACGTGTATGTATTTTACGACTTCAGACCCACAGAATTAGTTGTAATTGATTCCACTCTGTATTTTGTATAGATTTTTCAAAAACTTAAATGAGTGGGCACTGGACAGGTGTACACTGTAAAGTTTTGTGATAATTGTAATTCATATAACAGCTATGATGAGTAAAAAGCTGACGTTAAAGTCAATCAGAAACTCTTGCTCTAAGCAGAACTGAGAATTAGTACAGAGAGCTTTGCTTCCTGCTAATCAGTTGCCCTTCCATACACTTTAAACCTTGCAGCGCTAAGTTAAACATTTCACAAATTTTAGATGCCATAGACAAGACTGAGAGGCTCCCTATTGGCCAAACTACTTCATTGAGTTCAGAGCCAATAATGTAAAGTGTGTAGATTTGCACCAAATTGCATGAAATGTAATAGTTGGTATCTTTTATGATCTCTTATACTTTGGACTGTTTTTTGATTGTTTTTTTTTTTTTTAAACCATTACATATGCAATACCTGCTGCCTGGAGTGTCACTTTAATGTCGCATGGATTCAAATACATTTCAATAAAGTTTAAATGTTTAAAGTTGCCCAGTTGATTATCAAAATAGAAACTATATTTCAACCTTCCAGGCTGGGCCTATTTTGTTCTAAATGGTTAAGTACGACACGTAAATGTATCACCACTGCATTTAATAAATGGTTTATTTGTTACAAGATTTTTACTGTCCCTTTAACATAAGTAGTGTGTAAAATATGAACATATAATTCTGTAGGATATCTTTTAGGTTAAGTGGGTACCTGTGCAGTAATACTGACAAAATTAGTTTAGTAAAACATGCATAGCTTAAAGCAAAGAAGGAACAAAAAAAGAACAAAATAATTAGCGGAAGGAGTTGTTAAAACAGAATTAACAGACAGAATGCTTGTATAATGCATGAGGCGTGAGTAAAAATAAAAAAAGTTTTTATTTTTGACACAAAGTATCAAAAGAGAATAATGCATTTTTCTTCAATATCCATACAAATAGAAAAATATATAAAATATAATATAACATTGATTGAATACTCTGATAAACAAAGATTATAATTATTTACAAGAGAGGCATGGACGATTAACACATTAACACATTCACATCCTATGCTTAGCTAGGTAACAGCTACAGGATTAGAAATGAATCGCATATTGTAGGGTTAAGCAGAAGGTTTACAGAACATACATAATACTTCAATAAAAATGTTTTGTCATTTTGTCTTTGGATCATATGCTCCCAAGAAAACATCATTGGCCCAGAGAAGCAGTTATCAAGGCACCCCTAAAAATTGGAACCCAAGGATTTTCCTACCTAGATTAAAGGAATGCAGTTAGTGCAACAGAATCCCCATTCTCGGAACAGCCAAGAATGCATTGGAACACATAATTCACATTCAGTTTCTAGGAATAAATAAGATCCATGAATTAGATCTTTCGGTCCAAGATCCTATGAAATGTAAAGGCAAACTCCCTTTCTCCATCAGTTCTGGCCAGCATACAGCCAGATGATGAAGTCCTTGTTCCAATCAATCTAATTGCCAATGCAAGTTTACAAAACATTTCAAATTTTGGTTTGCATAAAATTGCATTCCTTCCATTTTATACCGATAAACAATCAGTAGGCTATAAAGTAAAAACATCATTGGTCATATAAGGCACATACCCTTAAGTATATGAGTCTAGACAGGGATAGGCAACCTTCGGCACTCCAGATGTTGTGGACTACATCTCCCCTGATGCTAAGAGCATTTTCTGAGATGTCACGACATTTGGAGTGCCGAAGGTTAGCTACTCCGGTACTAAGATATACTTGAGGGTGCTCAGCAAGCCATGTTTCACTTTGATACCAGGGGTAGGCAACCTTTGACGCGCCAGTTGTTGTGGACTACATCTACCAAAATACTCTTACAGTCATAATGCTATGTGCATGCTGCAGATCGGTCTTTATTGGTGTTTGTAAAGTAAGCAGAACAATTAATTAATTCTTTAGAAAACTATAGAGGCTAAGAGTTAACAGAGAGATAATTACACCCCAAAATTTTAACTTCCTCATAAATACAGAATGTGCATGTGAACACAGTGGTTGAGGCTTTTCTTTATAAGTAAATGGCGTAACCAATAAAACTTAGCTAAGGATTCCGCCTGTTGTCTATTTATATGTTTGGCCCCCACATTTCTATGGTTTGAAATGCAGCAGTTTTGCCCCATCTCTGTACATTGATAGTGAAATAGCACTCTACAGGGTAGCTTTGATTTTATTGTAGCCCTCTAGCACCTATTTTCCATTAAACAAAAAAAATTGTTTCTCAAAGGCGAGATCTAATCTTATCTGCTCACACTAACTTACATAAAAATACCTGCACAGTTAATGCCTGCTGGGCCTGATTTTCGTTTATCAAAGAAGTCTTGTAATGATAATTACCCGAGGGACAGGTTTTTTTTCTCAGATCTACAATGGCCATGCAAGATCTGGCTAGTTCTTTACAATGCCAGCAGCAAGTTGACTATGGCAATCAGAAATGTATTTATGATAAGGTCAACAGCTGTACTGGACCACGTTAGGATTGGTAAAGCCTTGCAATATAATGCAGGGTTAGTGCTCTGATTACTATATAATCATTTCAAAGTGAGAAGGAAGTGTCAATTTAACAGATCTGCTGCCTGGCTTACCAATAAAACACGGTAACACAGCACTAAATTCACTTTTTTTTCCCCAACTTATTTTCGGTTACAAACCGGGTGGCAACAAATAAAAAAATGTCACTATGTAAGAAAGCTATTTTACATTAACCCCGACACTGTCATGAAAATCTAATTTGAACGTAACGATCAAGACTGAAATCCAAAGATCACAGAAAGAATGGATACATTGTTAAAATAAGAATCTTATAGACATCCTTTACACATCAGCAGATCCTGTGCAGACACAGAATTCTTTATTTTATGAGTTGGGGCTGTCAAGTGTCTGGTTTCAAAGAGGGTAACTTCATATTCCTTGGCTGTTTTCTTGACAGTGAAAGGGTTAAGAGCTTTGTCACATTGTTTTGGTTCTGGTTGTCTAACCCTAGAGGCACCTCTGGGGCACCTAATTTACGAGAGTCTTTGAGGGTCGGTGTCTTTAATTAAGATGGCCCCTCACACAGGAGCAAATGCACATCCTGTATCAAGGTCAGAGGTTTGCAAAGAGACAAAAAGCAGTCTATGCATGGAGGGTCCCACTACACTCAGAAGAATTGATGTATGTGTGGGGCAGGAAGGTAAGAGTGTGGGGGTTGTCCAACATCCAGGAAAGGCCAGCCAGATGTTCTTTCATTACTTTTTTGAGGGTAACTCAATTAAGCAATGTGTTACAATGCATAAACCTTCAGCAGGTGAACTTGCCAGAACTATACACAGTAAAGGGATAACACACAGTTTTACTGTTTAGGCACAGAGTACTGTGTGTGCTCAACACAAACTTTTAGATCCAATGATCAAACTCTCTTATTGAATTTCTAACCTCTGATTGCACACCAAACACCAACATAGATCTGACTGCAGCACTGCACAGGAAGTGGGGACTAAATGCATTATACAGTGGGTGATACGTGAATAATAATTCTACAGCAAAGTACTCAAAAGGGACAATAAGCAGGGAAGCGTATTTGGTTGGTTGCCATGGTAATAGTACCATTCTTAGAACTTAACCATAGAGCTGTTCTTTCTATATTACCTAAAGCTACACATATTTCTGTATAAAACAAATATTGTCTAGACTCTGATACAATACTTTGCTAAACTGTTGAGGCAGGGTATGGGATGGTATGATTTGGTAACAAAATGGGTCATTTATTTGTATTTGAGCCCTAGCCTTTTTTTAGTGGCCTGTTTTTCAGTCTTTATTAATGATTTTTAGTGACTACCAGATTATAACTGTGAAAAATAGGGCTTTATTTACTCAACATAGACTTGTGGAGAGGTAACATCAAGCTGTCTCATTTTAGGACAAAATTTAAATAATCTCCAAATGAGGTGATTTTCAAGGTTACTGGTTAGTTTATCTCAACTCAAGGTTTGGTGAATTAAGCCGGTAGTCTTTTTTTTCACAGTAATTGATCTGATGGATGCTGGATGGACTTAAAATAAAATTAATATGTAAATATATATTATTAGTGCTTCAACTACATAACTCCTGATCTCTACTATTGAAATCCTTTGGGTATCAGAGCTGGGACACAATCCATCGCTTTGCAATTTTTTTCCCATACCCTAACAACTCTGGAGCAGAGTACTGGCATGAACCCGATTAAGCATGGATGGCTTAAACATAGACCCCCATCCATTGTAGAACTACACCTCCCATAATGCTTTGCTAGCCCTAAAGATAGCCAAGCATCAGGGGAGTTCCAGCACCACAACAGATAGAGAACTATATTTTGTCTAGCCCTGTGCTAGAGTTTATAATGGATTACATTTTATTGTTTATCATAAACTATCCTTCAAATTGAGCCTTAAATACAGGGATAAGCAACCTTTGGTACTTCTGACGTTTTGTGGACTACATCTTTGCCAGCATTATGGCTGTAATAGGAGCTGTAGTCCCCAACATTTGGAGTGTCGAAGGTTGCCTAGCCCTGCTCTAGTATTCCAAGCATTAGAGGCATTGTGAGAATGGGTTTCTGACCACTGAGAAAGAGCTTGCACAGTTTACACACTATGTCTGTGCATAAACAAATGTGATTGACAAAGCTCATTCTTCCGTTTGTTGTTAGATAGGCAGTGATTAATCTCAGAAGTTTCCCTTCCTATTAGATATAATTGTAAGATTAAGGAGGGAATTTCCACATAAAAGCCTTTTTTCATGTCTGGAATTATTTGTGTATGTTTTTGCCCTTATACAAATCTCAAAGCATGGGGGTTCCAATGCTGAAAACATAATTGCGTACCAGGGTGCAGAGGAAGACACTTTGTTGACTGTAAATAATTTCACCCAAATTCCATTCAGTAAACCTTGGTTGGATTATCTCACTCTCTACGCTAGAAAAGATGAAAATATGTATACATTTTTTTGTTTTGTTTTTTAATATAATGGTTAATTTTAGTGATAGGCAACAATTTTTATATCAGGGACTTTGTATGCCCCCCGATTGTCAAGAAGCCCTGGGGGTTTAACAACAGATGGGAAAATGTTGCAACAGAAGGGGGCTATTGCATAACTAAATAGGCATATTCTGCTGGCAGTTGTGCATAAACCATTATTAATCTGATTTCACACAGGCTGTCTGGATTCCTGGTTGCTTTCTCTTGAGTTTCCTACTAGTTTTGCCTCAGCACCTCTGTGTCCTATCCCTTAATTTAATGACTTTGTAGGCCATGTGCACAAATTTCAAAATATTGATTTTTGGATTATAGCAGAATAGAGTTTATCTGAGACAGAGTTTATGCGTCTATAGACATTACGTCTTGTGAACATACGATGTGGGTACCAAACATCCTGGCTGCTACTAGTTGCTCTTCAGATTTTTGCACCGTAAGCAGGCCAACTCATTTACAGAAAACAAAAACGATAAAATCAGAGTATGTGACTGTATTATTTGGCATTTGTACGTTCCCTGCAGCTGCGGTGCAAATTATGTACATGAACAATGTGTTGAATATAAAAGGAAGAGTTTTTTTTGTTAAATAAAAAATGTATATAAAAAAAAGGAAGTGCTTTTTAAAAAGAATCTATAGTTGGTCCTGAAGGCAGGTTTAAACATTGATAATTACTAACGAAAGTCCATTCCTACCTGGTAAGAATTGCCTGCATAATTACTAAAAAAAAAAAAAGCAAAGCTTGTATGCTTGTGTTTTGTTATGGCATTTGCGTTTTGGCATAGAAGCAAAACCAATGTTTTGACGCAGGTTAAGAAAATATTCATAAAATCATGCAGGCAGCTGGAATAGGGCTGTCTTCATGTAGGCTAGGGAGAATGAGACCAGATGCTGAAAGGATTTTTGCGAACCTCAAAATAAAACACTGGGCAGCTGGGAAATCTCATTTGGTGTGAAGCTGACTGAGAGAAGACTTTTGTGTTTTTTCATTCTTCTCGTAGAACACTGGAACTCTCAAGGTTCCAAGTAAAGAATCATCACAGAATTCATGTAGTTCGTTTGAAAAAACTAGTTTTAACCCTTTCCTTTGTGGATGATTCAGTGAGTTTTTAGAAATGTCTGAGAGAGCCAATGGAAGTCCTTTTTTTTATCTGCTAGGCTCACAGATTCCTTTCTACTTGAAGGACCTGCAAAGTATTGCACTGACTTAATGTGAAGATTGTATTGCATTTGGTGGGAGCGAAGTAACCCTCAGAATCACCGACCCACCCCCACCGGAAAAAGTATCAAAATAAAAGTTATATTTACAACACAAATTGGTCCTGTGGTTATAAAAATTTTAAAATGCATGTACTCTACCCATAACAGAAGATAAGGCAGGCTCCTTTAACAGGCACCTCTCCTGTCTTCCTGTTTATAGGGGCAGGATATACCGGCATTGCACTGAAGCAGTAGCCCATAACGATTTAAAAGGGTAATTTAGCACTCAATGACAGTAATGCAAGGCATAGCCCTCTTTCCTTCTGTCACAGCTCACTAGGCTCCAAAATTACGTTAAACAGAGCAATACCTGTACACAGAGAGAAAACGCACAGACTGAACAGGTCTGTTAGACTTCTGTAACACTGAGTTATAACTATAGTGTGTAATACTGTACCGTACCTTAAATACAGACTATTATTACTGCAAATGGTACAGTTCACAGTAGCAGCCTGGCTGTGAATCTTACAATGAACTGGCTATGGGAGTTCACTTGTGAATTTGGAGATACCACCAAGACATTAAGGTGTAGAAAAGTGATTATTTTGCGGTCTCGGCTTTATCAAAGAGACACCCCCTTTAAGTCTTTGGAAAGTGTTAGGGTTGTGACAATGCTCAGCAGGAGATACGTTACGGGATTCCAAAAGAGTGGTTTGTGGGTGCCCGTAGAGGACATGTCTTAACACATTTCAGGCCGGGGGTGGTGGCTGCACCTCTGCTGTTGCCTGCTTACTTGTTCAAGGCTTTTTCCAGATATTCCTGAATCCATTTAATCTTGGGGTCCAGGCAAATTTGTTTACCACTGTGTTTCAGACGGGCACTGTCAGAGAAAGAGGAGAAGTAGATTAGTGCACAGGAACTGAGAAGACATGGTTATGTTGGGAGTGACATGGGAATACATTGAACCCAAGCAAGTAGAATGCATTTATTTAGATATATATTATTCAAACCTTCAAACCACTCTAAAACACCCAAGTCTTAAATATAATAAATAGCACTATCTGTATTTGACAGTATTTTGTTGGCGATATTGTATGGCAGTGCCTGACCTTCTTGACTGTTTACATTAGTAGGCATGGATTCTAGGTCAGCAATGAGTGTCAGTGCCTGACCTTTATTGTGTGATGGAAGAGTAGGTGGTGGTAAGGAAACAGTATGTGTCAGAACGTGACCAGTCTAGAGATATGACCTGTAATAATGGGTTGCAATTATTCATCCTGAAGAGTTTGAAGCACTTGGAAAACTTTGTGATACATAGAGAAGGCAAGAGACAAGTTGGTTCAAGCTATGGTCATGAAATTAATGCCACCACCAAGTGACTTGTCTGGTTGAAAATGAAGATTCATTACATAACGAAGAAAAGCATGTGTTATGGTTTTAATTAAAAAAAATTATAGTTTACAAGGAAGGATTGCTTCTGCAAAACTTAAGGCCCGGCTGGAGGCTGAAGAGGGGTCAGGGTTGTTTTTTGTAGGGAGGGGATGGGTACTTACACAATCTGTAGAGAGCAGTTGGTGGTCGACAGAATCTTCAGGTGCTTGATGTTGCTTTTGGCCACGTTGCTTTCAAAGTATCTGCAGGGACATCGGTAACTCAAGCTGACCGGTTTCTCTGTGGGATCAAAAGACAAACAGCGGGATTGTAAGCTTCTTGCCGAGAGCAGAGATCACACACAACTAAGCAAATTATGAATTCTTTACCAAAAAAAAAAATCACAAGTTTCCATTGTCCTCTTAACCCTATAAACCTTAGAAAAGGCCTGGCTGGGGTACTGTCTCTCAACGAATTAATTACTAATTATTTTTTTATTGAGATGCTACTGGATGAAGCTGCAATGTTGTTTCATAAGATAAAGTACTATTACTTTATTATTTAAAGACTTTTCACTGGAGAAACATTTGAAGTGGAACTCAAGGTTTATTTATATATACCGTATTTACTTAAATCTAATGCACACCTTGACTGGCAAAATAAAGTCTCATTAGATTTGATGGCACATTAACCTATACATACAGGTGATTTTTGTTTGTTTTTTGCAGGAAATGTAGTAGATGCCTGTATCAGGCTACCATATAAATACAGTGTTTAAAATATACATAATAATATCCTTATGAACAGCATAGGCATAGTATATATTTTATATTCTGACACAATAAATCTATAGTCAATCACTGTAAATGTTAACAATTTGTTTTTGATGATTAGCATTAATTGACTGTCCAATCACATACTTCCCAATGCAGCTCAATGAGAAGACTTTGCAAGAGAGATGCTCTGGCCATTTACCTCCTCTTGAGGTTAGCTCCACTGATCTAAGCAACCAGGAAGTAACAGGACCAGTGATGTGATTGATAGCCAGAGGGTTGTAACAAGGTTAACTTATAAAAGAGCCATTTAAAACTTTTAGTAGAATAGAAAATACACTTCACACAGCAAGCTGACTTGCTTTATGGGTCTGGAGTGCCCCTTTCACACTTGTCTTTTGTTTTGGGTTTTGCAGCAGGTCACAATTATTCTGATTTCAGGGCTAATAGGGGGACACGTAAATCTCATTTATATAGGCAAAAATAAACTGAGTTTCTATACAGAGAAAAACAATTCAAGTTTTCATTATATATTAGTTGGAAAAGTCTAAATAATATTATTATCATTTTTTAAAGATCTTTTAGAAAGCAGAACAAAAGATAAATACACAATGGACTTCCTTTAACCCCTTAAGGACCAAACTTCTGGAATAAAAGGGAATCATGACATATCACACATGTCATGTGTCCTTAAGGGGTTAAGATAAAACTTAAAATAGCCTTTTTCTCCCCAGAGCTGTAGACCATGTACTAAATGAGCTGCAGCTGCTCATTAATTGTGCTGGTAAAAGTGCAGCTTTTTATGGTAATCTTGGCTTGCAGTGTGTATTTGTCCTTAATTTGGGGGCCTATTAACTAAATTATGAGTTGTGACCTGACAACTAACTTGAAAAATTCAGGTTAAAAATACTGAACTAAAATAATCAAGCGGTGCCTTTTTTATTGATCTAACAGAAATATGTAGTGACAAACTTTTTAAAGTTCTTCCTTTTTTCAGTTTTAAGCATATTTCATCAGAGAAAAAATTTAACTTTTCTATCTGGCTGAACACCCATTTTGGGTGTAAAATCTGGTTACCTTCCTTGAGGGGACAATGTTTCAGTAGCAAAGCTGCAAGAAGACTTCTCATGTGATCTGTTTTTCAACTTTTAAGAGATACCAGTAGCAAAGTGAGAGGTATAGGTATCATAAAAATAGGGGTAGATTTTGCAAGAAGGGAAAACCCCTTTAAAGAAATTTGTTGTTAAGTCTCCACTCGCTAACCATATTGTTATGTAATCAACTGATTTACATGTTGATATGTAATTACAGGAAATCCCTGGTGGATTTACCATCCATTCTGCTTAAAGGGAAACTCCAGTGCCAGGAAAACAATCTGTTTTCCTGGCACTGCAGGTCCCTTCTCCCTCCCACCCCCCATCCCAGGTTGCTGAAGGGGTGAAAACCCCTTCAGTGACTTACCAAAGTCCAGCGCTGATGTCCCTCGGCGCTGCTCCAGGGTACGCCCACGCTCCTCCCCTGCCCACATCAGCCGGCGGGGGAGACCGACTGCGCATGTGCGGCCGCCGGCGGGGGAGACCTAATGCATTAGACCTCCCCATAGGAAAGCATTGAAAATGCTTTCAATGCTTTCCTGTGGGGATTTTAGCGACGCTGGAGATCCTCACAAACCTGTGCTATGAACCAGGAAGAGCCCACTAGTGGCTGTCCACTAGAGGAGGAGTTAACCCTGCAATAAACTGCAATAATTACACTTGCAGGGTTAAGGGTAGTGGGAGTTGGCACCCATACCACTCCAATGGGCAGAAGTGGTCTGGGTGCCTGGAGTGTCCCTTTAACTGCATTACATAGATCAGGGATAGGCAACTTTTGGCACCCCAGATATTGTGGACTACATTACCTATAATGCTGTTCTACATCTCCCCTGATGCTTTTCCAGCATTATGGCTGTTAATGGCATTATGGGTAATGTAGTCTACAACATATGGAGTTTCAAAGGTTGCCTTTATACATATACACTATATATATATATATATATATATATATATATATATGTGTGTGTGTATATATATATATATATATATAGTAGAAAGGACCGCACTCCACTTGATAGTTTTCAAATAAAATTTAACTTTTATTTAATCCATATAAAAATCAACGTTTCAGCACCCACATGGAGCTTTCATCAGGACAAGAAATCCCTGTTTTTTTTATAGCTATATGTAAAAAATTTGCCAAGCATTTGTGTGTATGTCACACTTGCATGCTCACTAAAGATGAACAGCCCAATTTACTTAAAATTAGTAAATATTGTATGTAAACACACATAATGGTTATACAGTTATATGTTGACACTTTGTTATATCACACAGATATGCCTTAAGAAAGGAAAGATAAGAGGTTGGAGCTATTATTTCTCTCCATAAAAGTCATGCATTTGGTACGCGGCTTTGTGCCTGAATTCTTCCTTTATTTTCTTTATCTAAACTCATTTCATGTAGAGGCATAGTAGACATTCCCTTATAAAGGCTTTCTTTGATGGTATTATCGTTCAGTCGATTCATTCATTATTAATTATAGAAAAACATATTTCATTGCTATAGGAACCTTGATGGCATTTAAAATGTTTTACACAATACATAAATCTATTATGTTAGCATTCTCTGTCCTTGTTAATGCTTTATCTGGAGAGCAAACTTAAAACATCTTGGATGACGATTCTTGGCTAATACATGAAGATATTATTTCGGGACTGAACCATCTGTGTCGTATCTAGTTTAGTGGCAAAAACTCAGTAGTAATTGTCCTCAGCTCTCCAAAGAGCCTTGAATGTCTGCCTGTAATTCATGTCACACAACCTTGTGACTGTTATAGACTTCCAGCTGCAGTAAAAATGACACCATCCTGGCTAAATGTGCGTATTTTGCATGGCGCTAAGCAATATGTAGAGTTACATATGGCTTAAGAATGGATTACTAATGTGAATGCGTTTCATTTGGGCCCTCCTAAATGTTTGTTACTGTATCTTTGAAATGTTATTTCACTAAACATCTGTATGCTCTATCTGTTCAATGTACAGTGCTACAAGATATGTTGCTAACTTGTAAGTACAAAAATAATAATAATGATAATAATAAATCCTTTTCCTTAATAAAACAAACCAAAAAAAAAAACCAACAACTGCATGATGCAAGACAACACTGATTTCCTATAACGTTCTCTGGATACAGTAAATATATTTCTATATACTGGACTCTGCAATATAATGTGTTGAGACTCTCCCATCCTTACATGCATGTATATTTTAGATTAATAAATATTTTTTTTCTCAGTTGTAGCTTTACACCAGAAGTTACTGGCCTTTAATAAAATAAAAACCATTCTCTGCTCCTGCCCTCTAGAGGTGAAGCCAGGTAACAATCTACAGTGAAGCAAGCCCATAAAATAGGCACTTCCCCTGAGGAGCACCCTTAAACTAATGACATCGGCACTGTAATGTCAATGCTAATATAATAAAAAGGGAAGTCAGTGAAGGAGTACTCTGATTCTTGCCTTGAAGTCTTTCTGCAAAATCTTTTCAATAATTTATTTTTTATTTTTTAAGAGTGCATTCCATGTTGATAAGTGTCCGCGTCTGTAAACCCACCACGGACTGCTGTGGACTCATTCACCTCACCTCACCCACACGCCACGATATTGGTGGAGAATCGTAGCAGATGCTCCCAATACATTTATGCAACATAACTATGTTGTTTATTATTTTTAATCAATAGTCACCACTAGTTCTTGATAAATTGACAGTATAATGTGTTGCAGATAGTCTATATCCATAGTAAAATATAATTTTTTTTTTTTTAAACTGACTGGTTACCTGATAATACACTAAAGACAGAAAAGCAGCTTATATTAGCCTAATATCGCTCTGATTCATATATAAAAGTAAACGCTAAACAACAGAATTCTGCAGAGACAATAATATCTTTACATAAATACATAAGTACTCCTGATTCCAACGCAGTCTTAAAACTGAAATTTTATTTTATGTTAGTGACACTTTAAATAAAAAAAAAGTAAAAGGCCAGAATTGACGTTCCTTTTTTTCCCTAGAACCTTGAAAACTAGTTTAGAGAAACCTAAGATATCACATCTGTCAACTCCAGAGAGAGTTTTACATGACATTTTAACTGTCAATGTCTTAATACTGTTTGCTTTTTTTTTTTTTTTTTTAAATTCTTTATTTTTGTGGATAAAGCATGTTGTTTACAATATTACATGTTTGGCAATATAATGAACAAATCACACAGTAATTTCAACATGTTGCGGGAGATATCCATTTTTAAGTTTCGAATAGCTTTTACAGCCCTCTCTCGCCTGTACTCTCGCGGGGAAGTGGTGATGTGTTGGGGGGGCTCCTTTCCTATGGCGGTGAGTGCCCTGAAGCTCGTTTGTGTGGATTTACGTGTGGCATTAACAAATGGCACATCAGGGAGGGTGACCTGCTTAGTGGGGCTCGGTCAGAGCTGTGGGTGCCCATAGGCTTAGTAGTGGCATGGTATATGTGGCGTGGACTTAAGGCACGTCTAAATGTGTGGGTATATGGCATGGGTCCTGCCGGACCTGTGAATAGGGCTTAATGCTATGATTTTGTAAAAAGGCTGTATTCGCTTATCGAGTGTGAGGGATACAGGCAATATTAATTCTGCTTTGTGCACTCAAAATACAATAAAAAGGGGGAGGGGGATTAACTTGGTCATAGAACCTGAGCCGTAGCTTACGGAGCCAGTGGGAGGAAGTTATCTAAGGAGGGGGATTAACAGTCCCGGGTCTAGTTGGTGCTCCTGTTGTCTACAACAGGTAAAAATATGTGGAACTTGCATGGCTGCAGCTGTATCAAGTAGGCAGGGTAGCAGCTTGTAGGCCTTCTCCTCTGGGCACGAAGGGGGTGATATCTGCCACAGTCCAAGGTGGTCGAGCTGTTTCTTGTGCTGCCTGCGCCGGTATGCCCAATGCTCTGAGGAATGCCGGTATTTCAGCAGTGTGTGATAGCTTGTGTGTCACGCCTGCCTTGTCCGCCTGTAGTCTGCGTGGGCCCCACTTGTAGGGGATGGCTTGATCCCGTAGTAGTTGTGTAACCTGACGGAAAGATTTCCTCCATTGTATAGTGTGTCTTGAATAGTCTCTGTAAAAAGCTAGTTGTGCCCCCTCAAATGGCACTGTGGGAGTGTCTCTTGTGGCCCCCATAAGTATTCCCCTGTCAGAGTCTCTCACAAATTTTATCAGGACGTCGCTAGCTCCTTCTCGTGGCGTAGAGGTCGCCCTGGAGAGCCTGAAGCAGGAATCGATCATTACCTGTTTCGCTTGCCGTGGTGTCAGAAGTGTGGCTATAAGCCGTCGGCAGAAATGTGGCAGTTCAGTGCCAGAGATTGTCTCCGGTACTCCCCGGACCCTCAGGTTCCGCGTCTTGTGCCTATCTTCCATGTCCGCCAGTTGTGCTTGCTGGTCGGCACACTGCTTGCGCAAGGCGTTCAGTGCAGCATCTGTGGCATTTTGCGCCAGCGTTGTACCTTTTGTGCCCTCTTCCACTGCTGTCACCCTGTTTGTTAGCACAGCAATATCCTCCCTCACCAGTGCCATATCTGCCTGAAACATGGTCTTGATTTCTTTAACCAGGGCTTTGATATCCGCTTTGGTAGCGGGTGCTGAGTCTCCCTGATCCTGGGGTCTCTGAGGTGCCTGGCGCCCTTGGCTCAGTATGGAGTGTTCAGTGTAGTGGCTATCCTCGTCCGAGGATTGGGAGGTGTAGGCCTCCGGCGCCATCTTGGGATTTGCCGGCCGCGTGGCTGCGCGGAGAAAAGCTCCGATATCTCCAGATCCTGTGCTCGGATCTGCCCTCTGTTTTTTGGATTTCTTCCCCATGACACAGGGAGTCCGTGCTCTGTCTTTATTGCGCCGGTGAGTCGGTGTTTATTGTCTCTGGGCAACGTTTTTTCGGCTCGGTGCCTGGAGCAGTAGTCAACTCCAGAGAGAGTTTTATGTTTAAAAAAAAAAAAAATCGGCCAAAAGATTAAACACCGAAATAACTGTATCAACACCAAGAGCGTGTTATTTTAGAACAAATACCAACGCAATATTTCATACTAATTTCTGTTTATGACAACTTGAAACCCATCTTTCTCTGGATTAATTGAACATATTGAATTTGCTGCCAGAAATGAAATGAAATGTATATGTGCATTGCTATTGTTCTATTTACAGTATTTTACATAGGGAGACCACCCAACACAAGGCTAGGGATATGTACATTATTGTACCAGAAAGAAGGCCGATCTATTGATTATAATTGTATTGTGTTTTCCATAACAGTCTCCGAAAGTTTCATTAGAATTTGAAAAGTGATTATTCATTCGCATATCTGCTTGGGAGAATAAGGACTATCTTAGTTTGAGTGCAGTCATGTGAAGGTCTGGAAGACTCTCTGCAAGCTCTACTTACTATTACAAAGTAACAAGGTTCCTTTTTGATGTTCTGTGTCTTCCTGGCCGTGCAAATAAAGAGGTACTGTAGGGTTTGGATCCCATGCAGGGATGTTAGATTCAAAATTTATTCCTGGACAAATATCTCTTGTACGTGAAGAATGCTATGCTTCAGTATGTATAATTAATATGCTGCAAGAAGGACATTTATTCAGTGATAAAGGAGGGGATCACCTTGATTGATTAATTAATTAGCTTCCTGCAGCATGTGAATGCTACATACTGCAAGGCTGATGGTTTCACGTGCTGATTGAGAGCATGAACAGTTGATATGCGTTCAGGAAAATATATGACCTCAAGGCGTCATTGCTTTAGGATGGTATTAGGTAAATTGTGAATTGAATGCTGCAGGGGTTATTCATCAAGCTTTGTATGTGCATCTGAATTGTAAAGTGTAGGTAAAATACCCACATTGAATGGAAAAATTCAATTCAGAAAGTTAATTAAGGGCAGGCAATTTAGGTGTTTGCATACTGGATTCTGTCCAGTAGAAAAATAACATGAATTGTTATGAAAATGATAGCAATTTGCGTGTTTATCCTCAGATATGGTAATTCTGTGTGATCTCACTCTATCTATCAAGTCTATCTATCTAGTCTATATTGTTGGTGCTCCATATTGTTGGTGTATCTGAGTGTATAACAGAGCTCCACACCAACAATATTCACAGTAATGTGTGTTTTTTAACTGCAATGAATGTGTTTAAAAATCAGTCTCTATAAATAGTTTTAGAGGTTGGACATATATTATGTGGTCCTAAAACCCAATGGATCTGGAATTTGAAACGCCTGGCATTTGTGTTCATAAAATGTACACGTTTATACTTGTTTAAATAAATCCTACCATAACACTTTTACATACTATTTAACCATTTTGAAATATTGTAAAATAGATTTTTAGAGGAATAGATATGTCAATGGTTACTATTGTTTAATGTCATGCTGTTTACTTATTAAATAATATATAATCATTCCCTTCTTAATCCCTAAACTTATACCTATTACTAGCTGCATTTCTTGTTTTTGTGGCTTTTTGGCCTGGCCCCTTATTTCCGAACTTAGTGTTGGGCCTTGTCCAAGCAAATGCTTCCCGTAGAGAAGCATTGAGGATGAAGTGTGCATGCTCCAAAAGTGCTCTGAGCCTAACGGAGATTGGACAGAGGGACAGTGCTAGGCTATGACTGCATAACCTGCTCACACACACAGACCTGCTCATAGCACAATGTGTGTAACTGGAAGGGCGATGCATTCGTCATTAGCACACTGCAAGTGTTGACAGTGAATATCAAACTTGCACAAAATTGCAAAGCCAGCCTCGAAGTCCCATTGCTACTTCACAGATGCAGGCGGTGCAGTTAATTAAAGCAAATTAATTAAATATCTCCCTAATGTACCATTTCATGTACCATATCCATTACAGCAAACTGACATGACCCAATGAGCAAGTTAGTGAGTCTACATTTTGTCTGAGTCTGCCAACAAACTGTGAGCCATTAAAATCGGTTAAACTCTCTATAAAGAGAAATGAATATAAGTAGTTCTTGTTTTTAAAAAAAGTAAGAGATTTTCACAACATCGATTGTAAAGATAATATTCCAATTTAAAAACTTCTATGAATTCTGACATGTAAGAATAAAAAAATCTAACAAGAATAACATGCGCTTAACTTATATGATATAATGAAAAATAATATGCTGTATCCATGTAAGAAATGGTCTTTAAGGGGCTACCCAAACTAAATTTTATTTTTAGATGACGTGATTTGGCCACACCAAATGTATCCACCATGCACAAATGAAATATATTTTTGAGAAGACCACCTAAATCATGAATTACAGAAGCCAATGTCAGTTAATCAGCTACAAAAGTAGACCGATTTTACATTGCTGACTTAACATGCAGAATGTTGTATTTGGTAACATTGAGCATGATGAACAATCAATGTGCTTCATATTAATTACACATGTTGACATTCTGCTATTTGGCAAACCATTGGCTACTAACATTCTATTGAAGTCAACTTTCCCTTAGACTCATTTGCAGCTCAATTTACAAAGCAGCGGCAATCAAATGTAATGAGGGTTGCTCTGCAGAAGACCTTGTGTATTCTTGGTACTCCGCTAATGCCACATTAAAACATCATTTCAAGGCATTCCTGCCTGATGGTAGAAAAACAAGGGGTGATGAATGATTACCAAACTAGGAATAGAAAACAAATTAGACCAGCAGAAGCAGGAAAGTTGTATATAGTGATACCATTTAGTGATCTAAGCCATGTAAGCAGAAGAAAAGAAAATGGCTTTGAAATCCCATATGTTTATTTTAAAGTGAGACAAGGGTAGTAAATAGGGAGCAAATGACAAAGTGAGGAAAGAGGAAAACGTACCAGGAGAAAATACAAGGAAACTCGCTCAACGGTGCGTTTGTGCCAAAACACATTACAATCATACTTGAAGATCATTTATGCAGTCACCTCTGGAGTGGAAGACTGCCCGTATAAGTATTGTTTTGCAAACAGCTCTCAGATAACAGACAAAGCTTGTCCTAAAACTATTCCAAAGTTCTTAAAATGGAACTGTCACATCTCTGCAAATTTTACACAACTGAAAAAAACATCAAAATCACCTATAACTGTTAACCTTTTTTAATGTGATACTCCGTGTTCTCTTAAGCTGTATATTTAAGTTTTAGCAAGTGACATCACAAACCAGTTCATGTCCATGCACAGTCAGCGCACACAATGCACACAAGGAGAACAGAAATATTGTTCTGATTTCTCCTTTTCCGCTAACTTTGTTCAATGGCAGAAAAAGGCAAAACTTATCATAATGATTTTGAGGGTGCGAAGATGGAGGCTCCCAGTTCCAGAGAAGCTTTGTGGATTTCTACATTGAATTTTATGTTTGAGAATTCACAAAAACATATTTGCTTAAATATAGGAATAAGTAAACAGAATATTAAAAATCATTGCACGTGACAGTTCCTCTTTAAAGGGACACTATAGTCACCTGAACAACTTTAGCTTAATGACACAGTTTTGGTGTATAGAACATGCCCCTGCAGCCTCACTGCTCAATCTTCTGCCATTTAGGAGTTAAATCCCTTTGTTTATGAACCGTAGTCACACCTCCCTGCATGTGACTTGCAAAGCCTTCCTTAAACACTTCCTGTAAAGAGAGCCCTATTCAGGCTTTCTTTATTGCAAGTTCTGTTTAATTAAGATTTTCTTATCCCTTGCTATGTTAATAGCTTGCTAGACCCTGCAAAAGCCTCCTGTATGTGATTAAAGTTCAATTTAGAGATTGAGATACAATTATTTACGGTAAATTACATCTGGGTTTGAAAGTGAAACCAGTTTTTTTTCCATGCAGGCTCTGTCAATCATAGCCAGGGGAGGTGTGGCTAGGGCTGCATAAACAGAAACAAAGTGATTTAACTCCTAAATGGCAGTGAATTGAGCAGTGAAATTGCAGGGGAATGATCTATACACTAAAACTGCTTTATTTAGCTAAAGTAATATAGGTGACTATAGTGTTCCTTTAAATATTTAAGTGTCAAATGGATGAGCTAAGCCCAAATACTAGTCAAGCCCAACACAAAATAATATTAATATTTAGGGTTGGCAGATCAGCAATTGATTTAGAGATACCCATAAAAAACTAAATACTGAGCTCTACTTTACTTAACAGAGCCCTTAACATTAATATAACTGTATTTGTGGAGGGATTTCATTGTCTCTTGTCAGTTTGCCATCCCCTGGCTCAACTTAACTATCTAACTTTACTTCCATTTTAATGTCACTTTTTTTCTGCTTGTGATCTGTCTGAAGAATCTAAAAACGAAGTGTTATTTTTATACAAATGGGTACGATTAGAACATATATATAACCGCACAACCTAAGTGCATCATATTATCAGCAGAACATATAGCCTGAAAAGTCCATTCAGAAATTGGTTCTTTTTTGTGATATTTTATTTTTGTGCAATTTCAGGCACTAATGGTATAAAAATGTGCTTAGCTAAATCAGTTACAAGGTTTTTTTCTGCAAATGTTTTAAAAAGTAAAATTACGGACACACACAAAGAAATCCTGAAACATCTCCCCCCGTTGATACTGAGTCAGATGTGAATCTTTTCCCATGAACAGACATTAATATAATGGCCAATTCTTTACTCTGATTCAGAGACATCTTCCATGTGGAATCCATGTGTGTCTGCAATTTCACTTTTTCATAAAATGCATGTAGTAAAAATGTATTTTAATATCAATTATGTAGAAATGCCATAAAAACAGAGCTGTGGTTTGCGTATATGTCTTTGATTTTAAATGGGTTACACGAAGAGAGGATTTGAGAAATTTCTTATTAAAATACATTTTTGTACATTTCTAAATACATCAACATTTATTATCTGCTCTCTTTACTAATGCAAAATACAGTTATGATAAATAATGACCATTCTTGAAAATAGTCTACCAGAACACGCTTTTATGGTAAAAGGAGGTCTAAGAGGCAGTGGTTACATAATGCTCTAACAACTAATGGTTTTATACAAAGCCCAGCCATACTGTTGGCATCACAATCAGAAAAATGTCTGGGTGGTTGTCCTAGCCTGTCCAAGAATTGGATTGGACGACAGTATTAAATATGGTTTCCTTTAGTAAAGTAGTCACCGTGTGGCTATAAACCCAGTAAGTATTCATGATGTCACAGTTGGTTAATCTGTAGCTGGTAGTACACACAGCTGACAAATAGTAGGTGTCATTCCATGGTTCAGACCTGCAGAGCTGTGTGTGGCTGATACTCCCTTACTACAGACAACCAATGCCATATGTCAAGGCTGCAAGGAATGCTGAGAAATATGCATTCTTAGCTACTAAAAGGATGGATTGTAAACACTTGTATTTGGCTCTTAAACTCTGCAAGCATATATATAATAATTTATATTACAATATATTTATCTGGGTAACTGTGCTCAATTAACTAACTGCAACATTTAGGCCTAACAAAGTGCAGGCACCATAACCACTTCAAATCACTGAAATGATCATGGTGCTTGGAATAATACTGTAGAGTAATTTAAAAAAACTACAAAATGTATAGCTGTTAGGGAGAAATATTTAATTGTTCAATGCACAAGTCATTTTGGGGGCCCCCTGCGAGAGGCTTAGGTTTCATCAATATCCCCATTGGATTAAAACTGGTTAACCCTAAAAACACAGACGGTTAGTTGATTGTGCTTTAAGAATCATTGGAAATCCACTACATTAGAGGATTACTTAGCTCGTGTTTTGCAGTAAATAGTTTCTTTGTTTAGAAGAATGGATACCTCCTTCCTCAATAGAGATTCTTCATAATAAAGCAAAGGGTTAAAACATTTTCCAGCAGTTAAGAATCAATTTCCCCTCCATGCTTTGGTTTCCGCCATCTCAGAGTAGAGTAAGTTTCTTCATTGCCCAAGGTTAAAAACCATTATGAGAGCTAGAATAACAGCAAAACTAAGTGCTGGCTTATCTGAGCCGTTATCTGGTCCAATTACTCACACCCCATCCAAAACAATTAAGTGGTTCTATACAATAATCTTACCGGCATTTTTTTGAATCAGATAACTTAAGTTTGTTTTTTTTCTTACTCTCAGACCCTGAGCACCCCACCTATCCAAATATCTAAGTTTTGCAACTGAACGTCTGTTGTGGGTTATCCCTGTACAGACACAATATGGGTAAATGTACAACGCTGCGTGCTCTATCATGAAATACCAGATGGTAAGGTTTTGGAGATGTAGACAGTTTAAAGGGGAAACAATTTACACAAATTAAGTTACACCCCATTGCCTTTATAAAATGTATAATGTCCCCTGTCATCAACTACATCTCTAAGTTGGTAGCTGCTTGCTTCATAACTATAGTGACAAACGCCACATTTGGCAGCTGACAGTTTGTTTTATTTTAAAAAGAGCTTATCATTTTGTTTGCTTATAAATAGTCTACAGCAGCGTCACAATTCTCGTTTCAAACTCTGGCAGTTCCATGAAATATAGGGTTTACATTTTACATACTTCCTTTGTGTCTTCGTCGTTAATCTCTTCTGTTTAATAAACCCACTCCACTAAACACAGGATAAACTATAGAATGTTTGGACATTATTATTAGTTTGTCCGCAGCATTTTATTCATGTACAATGTTGAATACGCAGCAAGAAATTTATTATCAATATCAGGGTTATTCAATAAAGGGAGAATTTACAGGAAATAAAAATGAATTTCAAATTTAACGTCAAAATCTTTAAACTGGAAACATTCACTCTTAGCTATGCTTCCAGTTTGGTTATTTTGGCTTTGAAATTTAAATTCACTTTGAATTCATGACAATTCCCACTTTAGATAATTACCCTATACGTGTTAGCTGGTACAGAATACAACTCGGGACCTTCCCAAGCATTCAGCCCCAAGATGTCAGTTGAATTAATACAAGGGTTTATTTTTACTAAATTCTTCATTGTAACAAATTTGAAAACGTATGGAAAAATAACCATGTTAAGACTATTGCGTTTGGAGTTGGAGAATTTTTTAAATTTACTACAAGTTTTTGTTTATCAAAGAAATGCCAATATTCCATGGAGAATGGACAAAACCGGATTTACTATAATAAAAACAGACTCTTTTGTTAACTATAATGGTAATCTGTAGGTCAGTGTATATGTTATAAAACAATAATCAAAAACAAGAAAACACTTTGTCAGTGCTACACTAGATAACTCAATTCTACATCAAACATGCGGGGTTCAGGAAAAAAAAATCCATGTATATTTTTTCATGGTACTTCTCCTTTAACAGAACATTTGCTCAGCTGATTTATAACGGTCTGTCGATTTGGTCCTGTCTTACATTACACTGACTGGAATTTGGAAATGAAAGACAGCCTCACTCAAAACAGATCCCAATGGGGTTGGACTCCCCTATTAAACATAATTAACCGTTATTAAATGTCATTCTATACTTGAACACCCAAGAGTCACCCATTTAGTTGTAAGAGATTTTAAAGAGTTTTTACCTATAAACACTCTACTTGAAAAAGGGGATGGATACGTCCCTCATACGATCTTGGATACATTTTTATGTAAAGTTAACTTATCAGCTTTTATAGGAATGCCTAAATTTATGAGCAATACTGTGGAAGGTAAGTAAAATGCCTCAAATATTCTTGACCAGGTACTTTACTATGAGGCTATTTTTTAAAGCCAAGGGGCGAATCTCAACTCTCGACCCTGTTAGTCCAAAAGTGCAAAGATCAATTGCTTTATTTATTAGGCCTTAATGTACATCAGAGCTCTTGGATGTTTGTTAAAGTGCTCAGGAGTCAGGAACAGGTCAGTAGCTTCATGGTGAGACATGTTAAATTATTGCATTAGTGACTAACATATTTGTTAAAATGTGTAAACTTAATAAGGGCCATCAAAAATCTTTAATTTCAAAGTGAGCATTTCTCATCCAAGGTAGTAAAGACAGGATGACAAATACATTTGTCAATTACAGACTATCATGGTCTGTGTAACTAACTACTTCAACACATCTTCCTTATTAAAATGCAAGGATAGGTTGTTTAAAGGACCACTCTAGGCACCCAGACCACTTCAGCTTAATGAAGTGGTCTGGGTGCCAGGTCCTTCTAGGGTTAACCCATTTTTTTATAAACATAGCAGTTTCAGAGAAACTGCTATGTTTATGAATGGGTTAAGCCTTCCCCTAATCCTCTAGTGGCTGTCTCATTGACAGCCACTAGAGGCGCTTGCGTGCTTCTCACTGTGATTTTCACAGTGAGAGCACGCAAGCGTCCATAGGAAAGCATTGTAAATGCTTTCCTATGCGACGGGCTGAATGCGCGCGCAGCTCTTGCCGCGCGTGCGCATTCAGCCCAGGAGGAGAAACGGAGGCGGAGAGGAGGAGGAGAGCTCTCTGCCCAGCGCTGGAAAAAGGTAAGTTTTTAACCCTTTCCTCCTTTCCAGAGCCGGGCGGGAGGGGGTCCCTGTGGGTTGGGGCACCCTCAGGGCACTATAGTGCCAGGAAAACGAGTATGTTTTCCTGGCACTATAGTGGTCCTTTAATATAAATAAATACAATGTTCCCATGATCCTCTAGTACAGTGGATCGTGACCCAGCCCTCAAGTACCCCCTAACCATCCAGGATTTAGGGATTACCCAGTTGTGTCTAAGGTGTTTTGAGAAAAAAAAAAACACTTAAGACAGCAGAGTAATCCATAAATCTCGGACTGGTAGGGGGTACTTGAGGACTGGGTAGGGAACCGCTGCTCTAGTACAATGCATTAATATCTACATACAATTTGTATTATTTTCTTACTTTTGTCTACTTTTCTTCTCAGTACTTTTCTTAGTGAATAAATCATTTCCCCAAATTTATGGACATATAGAACTAAGATATGCTACCATTTCAGTGTAACAGAGGATAATAGGAATAAGATTTGCATGAAATGCCTTGTCTGTGCCTTCTCAGAGGGCTGTTGTAGTCTTCGATTGCAGTAATACTAACCAATTGTGTGAAAATAAACCAAAAACCTTCGTAAAAATCACCTTTCTTATTTAAACCTCAGTTTTATTTTCCCTCTCGATCTATACATTGCTAGCAAATCAGCTGCTCAACTTTGTTGTATTTCATAATTATTTATTTTTGCAAAATAACTGGCAAATCTTTCTGCCTATAGATATTTTGAGTTAAAATTAGCATGTTGGTTTTCTTCTCACCACTAATACAATGTTTATAGTGTTAAGTGTCAGATTCCCTTACAAGGCTTCTGAATATAATATAACCATGACTCCATATAGTGAGAGCTAAAACAGAAACATAAGTGGTTGGTTGAAATTATTCCAAAATGTTGCTTTCACCATATGTGTTTAGAGAATCCATCCATTTGCGTAGTGTTTACATGCAACTTGTAGTGAATCTAAGCAGTGTTGAAATACCGGTATTTCTGGAAGTATCTTGGGGTTTATTCACTTAACAGAAAGTTGTGAATTTTCTACAATTTAGTTATTTTAGGTTAAAAGCTGCACGTCTGTTATCAAATCACTGTTTAGTACATGGATAGGCCAACTTCGGACTACATCTTCGGACTGCTCTTACAGTCATATGGTGGCAAAAAATCAGGGGAGACGTAGTCTACAACATCTGGAGAGCCGAGGGTTGCACCTAGTTTAGTGAAAAAACCTAGGAGTTTGGATAACTTTATTTTTTCCATGTATTGTCGGCAGAATCTCCGTTTGGGACTTCAAAAAATAAGCTGTAAAACGTAGGTTAAATATGTGACTATAAGTTGGAGAATCGTTCCAAATCTGCACTTTCTTCCAATATATTCTAAATCTATTTTCATTTTGCTAGAGTTTGCGTTTTTAGTGAATAAACCCCTTTATCGGTTTTCTAGCTTTTCACTTTTTTTTTGTGTTTGTTCTAACCTATTTGTAAGCTTGTGAAAAAAGATAAAACGAATCTCAAAAGATAGCTTTAATGTGTTTGCTCAGCACTTGGGGAAGTGTCAGACACATGCCTTCAATAAGAGGATGACACGGTTCTAATGATCTGGTATTTATACTGCTTTATTCAAAAGGCTGTATACATAGCTTCACATTAGCAGGTTGATTTATTGCACCCACACCTGGAATGTAATACTGGGACAATTGGAAGCCTGGGAGTAGCAATAGATGTCTTAACAGATTACATATTGATTGGTTTGGATATATGATCTGTCCAATGCAATCTGTAGCAGTATACTGTAATTCACTGAAACAGCTGTAGCGCATGCAAACCCTATTGCAAGCCAATAATTGGACATATATATAACTGGGGGTGTAATATTGCCAAGAACCGAAAAATACAAGATTAGATAATGTGTTACTCTTTACTAATACTCATTAACAAGTGATTGCTTCCAGATCGGCTATCTTGGCCTAACATTTTAAATTCGCTTTGAATTCTCATTTTATTGAATAACCCTGTCATTTTCTAATGGTAGTGCAAGGCATCTACATCTAGATCTGTAAACTCTAAAATATGGAAGCATTTACTAAACATTGAGTTGTAGTAAAATGACAACCAAATTCATAAATTTAGACCTAATTATACATTATTGCATGAATTGGGAATGCAAAGTGGATTTAAAGTTTTAGGCCACAATAGTCAAACTCAGAACAGAGGAGGTAAAACTGACTTTTTCTAGGAAGTCTCACATGTGGGCACCATTGATAGACTGAGAGCTTCAATTGATCAGTAGCTCCCCATTCACAACCTTGCTTGAGAAAAATACATCCAAGCCTATTAGCAACACCCCTGTCGATGGCTTACTGATTCAAACCTCGGAAAGAAGCAGAAGAGCTGACCAGTTCTGTACTTAACACTTTGGAGTTAACCCATTTGTTAACGGTTTAATCTCCGAAGGTGAGCCGTGGACAGATGATGTAGTTTATGGTGCTTAATGTTCCTTTCAAAAGGAATATACTGCGTGATATGACAAGAACAATTGCAGAAGGACATAATCAAAATCATGCACTAAAATAGAATGTATTTTAATGCAACAAATGTAAATTATCATTTATTTATTTTCTTTCTCTTTAAATGGCTCCTCTAACGCATTGGAATTTTTATGCACAGGAAATCATAAAATGGCTTTCCCCAGCTGGCTAATTAAACAAACAATTTTTATTGTCTGTTCTATTTTGTTCTGTTAAAAAAGTATGTTCTGGGCTTGTTGCATGCATTAAATGCTGAGTGTGCTCAATCTGTGCCTAGACAGGAGGGAATATAAAATAGGGGTTAAATAGGCTGACTTAAGCTATCCAGACACATTTTAAGTAAACACTGGAGATTGTATTGACTTTTGCCAGTGCATTCTAGTGATTTATTCACTAAACAGCAAAAGATTATCCAATTCTGCTACTTGTTTTCAACTTAACTAATTTCATCTAAAATGTCAGTGGACAATTCATATATGTAGTGCGCATGTGTGCTAGTGACTTGGTCTGTAGTGAGCATGTGTGTGTCAGTGAGCTTGCCTGTAATGAGCTTGTGTGTGTGTTAGTGAGCTTGCCTGTAATGAGCTTGTGTGTGTGTCAGTGAGCTTGTCTGTAGCGAGCATGTGTGTGGATAGCAATGAGTTTGTCTGTAGTAAGCTTCTGTGTGTATATTAGTTAGTTTGTCTTTATTAAGCATATGTTTGTCAGAGAGTTTGTCTGTGCTGAGTTTGTGTGTGTACCAGTTTGTCTGTGTGTGTGAGTGAGATTATTTGTCAGTGACCCTATTTGTGGGTGTCAATGAGCTTATGTATGTGTGAGTTTGTGTGCTTGTGTCAGTGAGATTGTATGTGTGGCATGTGAGTATGCTTACTGTATAATTAATTTTTTACCCTGAAAGGACCAATATTTTAAATTAAAAAAAGAAACCTACCTATTGTAATATATATTTCTTTGATATATTTTTTCCAGGCCTGCTTTATATTCCCAGTCCGGCCCTGGAGATTGCACTGTGAAACATAATTGCACTTTACAATCCATATTAAAAATAAAATTGAGTTTCAATCTCTGTTTGTAATTAGAAACTGGTCAGGCTTTTTCACTAACTTGTGAACGGTCAGAAATGAAAATTGAATTTCAGGATTTGGGCCAAATTCAAAACTGATGGCTTGAAGATTTTTTTAAATTCACCTGAATTGATCTAAAATTTGAAATTGACCCTGAATAATTTTTATTTTGCGTGTTTGAATATTGGTGTGTTCACGAATCTTTCACTTTGATAAAATTAACTCTCTACAGTTAGGGATATCTTGTAAAGATCTGTTCTAGAAAAGCGTGAGTAGAGTATTTATTGCTGTGTTTTGTCTGAGTCTACCTATATAAGGGTCACACACACACACGCACATGCTGAGCTGTGCTGCAAAATAAACACTAAGAAGGGTATTTGATTATTAGTGTGAAATATGAGACACAGATAGTAAAAGCACAAAGAGAAGAAGGCACGAAGAATGGAAGGGAAATATATGTATAGTGAAGGGTTTTAGGAGGAAATTTCAAATCAATGCACGCATGAAAATGAAAACAGTAAGAGAATGTATGGGTAAAAAAATCAACTTATCTTATTTGGTGAATGGAGTTCTTAAACAAAAATATACATTTGGAGATTATTAATTAAAGGATCCGATTGGCAGTCAGTGTAACTGAGGCCTATATATAGGGTGTACATACACGGATGATGGATCAACAGAAAAAGAATGGTCAGTATTCTCTGTTAAGGTCTAAATCACCTACCGGAAACAATAAAGACCTGCATTCCACAAGGGCCCTTTAAGCATCCAATGTCGACTTAAATAGAACAATGGATGTTTGGATTGTGATGTGTGTGTGGTTAACCAAGCACAATGCAAAACAATGCGTCATACAATACGAACATAGGTATTAATAGACAGCAGATCTAACGTCTTAACTTGATTTAAACTGGCGCTGGCTTGGTTAATCGCCCATAGATAACAGATCTAACTTCTTAACTTGATTTAATGTGATACCGACTTGGTTAACCTCACATTTCTGTATAAAATGCTAAAAGCAAAATCAGTTTGAGGGATTTCTGTTGTAAAGCCTTAACATTTGATATCAATATATATATATTTGATATTGCTAATGTGCACCATGCTGTGTGGAGCTGTTTTTGTCTGTAGAAGAAATGGAAATATCAATTTCAGCCAAGAACACTAGTCTAGCATAAAGCAATCAATACCATGGGGGCATGTAAGTCTTAACTCATTCCCTTGCTTGTGTGAATAGATAAATGGATGGGTGGGTGGATGGATGGATGGATAGATAAGTGGATTGAAGGGTGTGTGGATGGATGGATGGGTGGTTGGTTGGTTAGTTGGTTGGTTGGTTGGTTAGTTGGTTGAATGGATGGTTGGTTGGTTGGTTGGTTGGTTAGTTGATTGGATGGATAGATAAATGGATTGATGGGTAGATGGATGGATGGTTGGTTGGCTATTTGGTTGGATGGATGGATGGGTGAATGGGTGGATGGTTGGTTGGTTAGTTGGTTGAATTAATAGATGGATGCATAAGTAAATGGATTGATGGATGGATGGATCATTGGTTGGTTTGTTGATTGGTTGGATGGATGGATGGATGGATGGACGGATGAATGGATATTGTATTTTAGATTTGAGGATAGCTGTCTTCATCTTTTTGCTGGTGCGATATTTTATGTTTATATTTTTCCATGATATATTTCATATATAAAATATACAATTAGATTGTATAAGGTATATAAAATACAACAGTTCAACCTAATCAACACATTAAAACCACAGATTTGAATTACTGGACAATAATATCTAAATTACAAGTTTGAACTATAGCTTCCATTGATTATAGAAGCATCATCTCTGCTGGAAGGCAACTCCACTAATCTAAAACCCTTTAATAAAACACATTTCTCAACACCGGCCATCAACTTACATCCTCTAATTCTAACCAGTCACATTCTTTCTACAGAAAACATTATATTCATGAATGCTTGTCTATGAATAAATGTCTATAATTTAAGACACCAAAAAAAATATCTCTAATTCAGATGGATTGTAGATATTTGTTTGTTTCCAACTCTATCTACATTTTGCAAGCTAGTTTGCATGTCACAACACCTCATTGCTTTCCACATTAATCCCAGTTAATAGCATTATTTATGTTGGAATTATTGATGTATTAAACATTGTTATATTTTTCAGGATTAAAAGTATAATCATTTAGCATTGTTTTCAAGACTCAGCAAGACTATCCATGGTAGGATGTGTTTCTCATTTTCTACAATTGCCATTGTGCCAAGCACAGGATAAATCGTGTAGGCAGATTAATAGAATAAATTCATACTTGATGGAAAAACATCAAAGATAAAATAGATTTTTGCTCCTTTTTATCCCATTGAGCCTGACACTGACTTTCTCTGTTAAGCTGAGAATGAGATACTTCTGTCCTCACCTCACTGCTCTGTCTGTTACTTGGGAATTAATTATAATAAACAGACACCCTTTATTTATAGCCTACAGCAGCCTTGCACTGGATTAACCCCTTCACAACCAGAGGCAAGCAGTGATCTCCAAATAGGAATAGTTTAGCTATAAGATACAGTTCTTCTCTGAATGTAGAGGTAGATTAACCCCTTCACAACCAGAGGCAAGCAGTGATCTCCAAATAGGAATAGTTTAGCTATAAAGTACAGTTCGTCTCTGAAGCTATAAGGTACAATTCTTTTCTAAATATAGAGGAAGATTAACCCATTCATAAGCAAAGGCAAGCAGTAAACTCCAAGTAGGAATAGTTTAACTATAAGGTGCAGTTCTCCTCTGAATGTAGAGGCAGATTACCCCCTTCACAGCCGGAGGCAAGCAGTGATCTCCAAATAGGAGTAGTTTAGCTATAAGGTACAGTTCTTCTCTGAATGTAGAGGTAGATTAACCCCTTCACAACCAGAGGCAAGCAGTAAACTCCAAATAGGAATAGTTTAGTTATAAGGTGCAGTTCTTCTCTAAATGTAGCAATCACAGCCGGAGGCAAGCAGTGATCTCCAAATAGGAGTAGTTTAGCTATAATGTACAGTTCTTCTCTGAATGTAGAGGTATATTAACCCCTTCACAACCAGAGGCAAGCAGTGATCTCCAAATAGGAATAGTTTAGCTATAAGGTGCAGTTCTTCTCTAAATGCAGAGGTAGATTACCCCCTTCACAGCCGGAGGCAAGCAGTGATCTCCAAATAGGAGTAGTTTAGCTATAAGGTACAGTTCTTCTCTGAATGTAGAGGTAGATTAACCCCTTCACAACCAGAGGCAAGTAGTGAACTCCAAATAGAAATAGTTTAGCTATAAGGTGCAGTTCTCCACTGAATGAAGAGGTAAATTAACCCCTTCACAACCAGAGGCAAACAGTGATCTCCAAATAGAAATAGTTTAGCTATAAGATACAGTTCTTCTCTGAATGTAGAGGGTACAAAAAAATGGTCAGTTGTATCCAGATGTTGACTAGTGATACACATGTTGAGGTGGATTATGCACATTGCCTGATTAGAGGGTATGATCTGCCTCTCTATCTCTTTTTTTGGAGATAGCAAAGTCCATCACAGACTCTTTGGCTGGGACCCTGGTGCCTCCAATAAGCTCATGCTAATGTTTTTCCAATTCACTTTAAGGAAATCTCCAACAAATTGTTATCTAGAGTTATCAGCAGTCAGTTTTAAAGATCCATGAACATATCTTACTCCTAAGCTCACCCTCCTTTAAATACACCAGAGGCTGGGCTTAGGGTGGAGGGGGTCTTGTAATTGTAAACAAAAATTATTCGTTGGGAGCTAAAGTTTCCATTATTTAAGGTGAAGAATGTAAGGTGGTAATTAAGGTTAGTAGCTCTGTTAGTCTCCTCTGGGCAACCTATATCTACCTAGAGATTTAGTGAATGCCATTTGCTAATTGATGATGTTATATAAAATTAATAGAATTTTGATGGAAATGCAAGATCAGTCTGCTGTAAATAGGAGGTTGTGCGAAAGGAAGACACTTAGGGTGATCGAAACGTCACATTTAAACTGTATAGATCCCGCTTCCACATCTTGCATTAGTATATGCCACTACCCCCAAAAATAGCCCCACGATTACATTATTTATAATATCACATAAAAATGTACAATATGATTTATATACAAAATCTATATTCTTTGCAGAGGATTGTTGATCATTGACTAGGAGATTGCTAATTTAGCTCAAAACTGAATTTTGAAATTTCTTAAACTAAGTTATTTGATCGGAGGTTTGGTCCACAGTTTGCAGTTCAATAAATAAGTCCATATCATATACCCTTCATATGAATCTACTGACCGAATTTATTTATTTTTTTCCCAGAGTGGAAAGGTTTCTTCTGGGTGACTTTGAAGATGAATAAATAGTCACTAAACATTATTTCACACATATGATCCCGAAGTTTATAAAGAAAGTCTATTCTAAAGTGTGACAGAGTCAACCAGACACCTCATCCAACCGTATAATTGTCCCAAGTCTAAAGATTCCGAGTCTTGTCCTCACCAATGGACTCGCTATGCAAGAACAATGCATCAAGGGGGAGTAGATTTCGTTCTAAATTTATTTATATTAATGTACGTATATATTACTACATTACTATATCATAGGAATAGAATTTAATTTAATTTATATTTATTTTTGTGGCACCTTTATCAATGATAAAGGTTTTGTCCTTGAGCATATTTACGATTATGATAAAGGCTGTGAAATAAAGCGAAACGTTGACCCTCGCTGCGCTCAGCGCATTTTTTTATTTACATGAAAGTATTTAGGGCAAAATGTGCCTTTTTGTGAAAATTTAACTTCAAATAGCTAAAACAATCTAGTACACAAATATTATTATAAATATTTGTGGACATTGATTATTATTATTAAGGCAAGGAGTTCTCTAGATGTCGAACCAGCGACATTTTATGTGTATGAAGAAAAGGTTTAAGAAGCTTTCCCTTACAATAACGTTTCGACAAAACAAAGTATTCATCTGAACAAAGTGAGCAGTGCATGCCTCTATAATTTTAATATTGGATCATTTATAACAAGTTCTAAATAATGATTAATGTAAAATGTATCTCAACCACAATTCACTATCCCCCAGCTTTAGTCCTGAAACCATTTCAATATGAAGAATTTACAAATCTATAGGCAAATAATATAATTATCATTGAACTACAGAAATATCAAATAATAGGCTTCTTAAATACATTTCTTCCCATTGCATTTATAGAAATATCTCCACAACAGCCTTCATTGGTACTCATTAAGAGAACATTCATTTAATTAGCCCATTATTACAGCCCCACCATGGCATTAGGACTTAGCGAGACAGATGTCTAAATTGGGAGAGGTTTAACCTGCAGTATAATAGAGGCAGAGGTGACTATATCTCTATTTGATGGGGTAATTTTAGGGGAGCAGTGAAGCAGAGAGATGATCTGCAGCCTGGACATTGGGACCAGACAGGTCCATTTATCTACAGACTTGCTGTCATGTCTCTCCTTAAACAATAATGTCCCACTGAGCAGCACACACCACATTAGCCAGAAAGAGCTTTTGTCGTCTAATGGCACTAGCTGACCCTGTAATCCGCAGCCCGGTGGCGGGCACTAAGGAGGGGATAATGGGGTCATTGGGAAATATGTGATGGATTCCACACCAATCCTATTAATAATGGAATTTGACAGATAATGGGTTTAACATTGGTAATAAACAAGGCAAATATACAAGTATAGAGCCCATGTTAGTGCACAGAGCAATAGAATGAGATCCTGACCTGCATTATACTTACAGAATTCCTTTAGTTGTGGAAATTAATATTGTATTTATTGTATTTTTTTGTTTGTTTGTTGTTGTTTTTTTGTCATTATAGTCAGCATTATAAAATTAAAAGATAAACTCTGGGTAATAAAACTCCAAGCCCAAGATTATATTTGGCTTGCTAGGCTTTTACTCTAAGGAGAAAAATCCTGCACCCCCCATGCTTTCAACCTGAATCAATTACTTTTCATTGTATTTGAAAGCGCCAACCTGTCCCGTGGCGCTGTACACCAGACAAGCAGTTAAGAAGTGCGTGCAGCGTATTCTTTCTCGTTCCCAGTAAATCCACTCTGTACATTGTACCAGCGGAGTCTTACACAGTGGGGATTATTCACTAAACAGCGAGGTCTGTATTCATATGCTAAAATTCAATAAAACTATAGCTTGATACAATCTCCAGTTCCACCAATTTAGTTCAACATATACTCCCCAGCACATGCTATATCGGTCTTAATTGTCTAAATTTGTTAATCCAATATTTATTTTAGGAGTCACACATGATTTTCCCTTTTTGTTGCACAATTGTAAATCACTTTGTAATGGGTTAACACCTTCTGTTCGATCAACAGCAAATACATATGTGTGAAGAGTTAAGCTCTGATGCACTTGAGACTTTTTGTCAACCTCTGTTGCTAGGTAACTGTAACTTTTATTTCACCAGTAGGTTTTAAACTCGCCCCAAAACACTGTTTAGTAAATAGATCGCTGTGGATCTGCTTTCCCCATCATACAGCTGTTTGTAAATCCCACATGTGGCTACTGGCTACACACAGAAATACGTTTGTCAGCAGAAACACAAGACACATGTAACACTGTAACAAATGCTGAGATCACTGGGAAAATGTAACATCTTGTACAGTTAGTATCACACCTGAGGGATTTACTAAGGTGATACACTGTATCTGCAGTGCACAGCTCTGAAACAAATTAACATTCACTCACCCCCAGCTATGTAAATTACTAACTCTTTCCCACCAGCTAAAATCAACTGCAGATCTGAATGGAAACTAGCAAAAAAGACATCAAAGATCAAATCAGAGCCCATGTTACTTTCAGTGTGACCCACAGTCCATAATAAATCCTGTGCTGCTATCTGGCTGTCTTTTGAAGAATCCCTAAGATAATTAATGGTCCATTTTGGAGATGTTCACACAGCACATAATTCAATCTTCTAGGCATGTATAATGCCACATGGTCTATGGAAAGTAACAGCACACACGTTGTACTACATTCGTTAACTTGAAACACACTAACTTACGATAACTTAAACAAGATGCTTTTGTTTACAAAATAACTCTGAAATGTGGACTCTCTAATAGTTCAGATCTATAGCACTGCAGCTTTATGGAACGTTCGCATCTAAACATTCTATCCCAACGTTCCACTCACCTTCAGATAAGCAGATAGTCCCCATCAGGAGAGTGAGCAGGGCTAGAGTCCTCAATTCCATGCTGACTGCTGTGGAGCTCTGTTCAGTTTGTGAGTGAATCCAAGAATGATCTGGTCTGTGTGTGGAGGAGCCTGGAAGTGCAGGCATAGTTGGGGGTGGGGAAAACTATGGGTGATTTATCACCTCTGGCATGTTATTACATCCTTCCCCTATTAAAATAGTTGGATGTAAATCAGCAGAACTCTATTGGAGAATAGGTAGGCTATCTGTTAATAACACAAATTATTTCAGCTGCAGTAACAAGTCCAAATTTTAATATTATGTGATTTGTCCCTGAGATGTGTTTTGATTTGTGGTGTTGAGGGGGTCTACATTTGTGATGTTGGCTAGTGCTAAATTTGACTGATTCCCATCTGTTACAGATTACCTAGAAATGCTGGACACTGAGCTGGGGTATGGGCTTTCTGGTTACCTGATCTGACTCATTCTGTGGGCTGTGGACAGGGAATATGGGGGGCAGATTTAAAAAGCAGAGCTTCGATGGGTTAGAAGGTAGCAAAGTTTTATTTGTAAAAGTTATGAGGTTTGGCAGCACACTGGCATTTGTGCCAAAGCCTTGTAAAAAGTTAATTAAAACCAAGTACAAGGTGAGGAGTGTTATTATAGAGTTTAATGTTCTGGGTGGTGAGCTTGTGACATATTTTGTAATTGTTTTTCAGAGAAAATTGGGTATCTTACTGAAAATGCTCAGAGCTAGATTATTTTCATCAGAAACAGAATGATTCCCAAATAAGCTAGTAACTAATTCTTGTTGCACTACATGTTCTAGTACTGTAGGTTTAGTAACCAAATCTGTGTCTGAAATTAGGTATTAATGAAAAAGATCTCAGGCACTCAATGTAATTGGTTCCAGGAAGATTTATTACAACGTTTCGACCTATACAGGTCTTTATCAAGCTATGATATAGGGCACCCTTAAACTTTTGAAAAGTCAAATTTTGAGGTACAGGAATCAATATTTTGGAGTTTGTAAAAATAATTACAATACTTTTCCAGCTTAACAGATCTCACTTACACTTTTTAAATTCACTGTAGATAAAAGTATTTCTGAGACAAATTTTCAATGCATTTTATCTAAACCAAACTTCCAACTTACTATTTTGTATTATTATTAAATATCATGCACATGGTACCAATACATTCCACAATGCTGTTTAGAATATCCACATTGCGTAACAATTTGTATGTATTTGTTTATGCACAAAAGTTGTAATGACGTTTTCTACATGCAATAGTCATTATGGACCCTATACGTTTTAGTAGTGAAATCAACAGCATATAACATGTGCTTTAATGACCTTATTACACATAAATATTGCAGGGATGAGTCTACAATCTAATAATGATAATAGTGGAACAGTTTACAGATCCTCCCAATGCATTAAGCACTAAATTTGCCAGTACACAAACTTACCCAGAAACAAAACTATTTTCCCTTCAAATGGTCAAACAGATATATTTCATTTTGATGAAGTATGCTACAAGATGAAAATTCCTATACTTTTAGAGTGAAATGCATCGGGAGTTACCACCTGTCCTACACCTGTAGGACCTGATGGCCAACTCATTTAAATTTTGAAGCCACCGAGGAGTCAAAAACGTAAAAGGCAATCAAGGCTGCCTCTTCAATTCTATGCATATTCCTAACCTTTGCAAAGGGTCACTTTATTGTCCGTTAAAGCAGTGTTGAGTGTGAGACTCAGTAGTTTGAGTTGAAGAAGAGGCTCACTATGAGAATGCATGTTTGTAGATGAGGCTCTGACTGTTTTAGTATTGTTAACTAATTAACAATGTAATGTGCTACCTACTTATGCCCTAGGGGTCTTAGATTTCTCTCAAGCATTTGATTAGAAGGTGTGGCTACAGAACCAGAAAACATGCCTTTGGGCTACCATTTGTACTTGAATTGAACAATGGCTCAGTGAATCTTTTTAGAAAAAAAGGAGACACACACCTGTTTGGTAGTTAGGTGGTTAATCTATAGGGAATAAAGGGCTGTTACTGATAAAGGTTCCTCTGGTGCTATTATAGAAAGACAGCAGAGTTAAATTCAGGTTCCCCTGCTTTTTAATTTGCCCCATGAGAATAAAGTTATGTTGGAGTGTGTCCAAAAGGAGACTGTAAAAATTGTGAAGGGTTTACAGAATACAGTTTAAAAGTATAAGGTAAAAAAAACAGCAACTTAATCTGAACACTGTGGCAGAAAGATTTGAAGAAGGGGTTCAGTAGACACATATACATTTATAAAGGGGAGTAGACAGTTATGGAAGTGTATGTTCCGAAGGAGAAATACTAAGACAGGCTAGGAAGGGAAAGATGAGCATTCTGGGCCCCTCATTGTACAAGCATGCTGTGCCATTGGACTTCCAGAAAAGATAGTGTCCCCACTTCCTTGTTACAGGTATGAGGCAGGGAGGGGGGATAAGCACAATCAATAAAAAAATGCTCACCCCAGCCCTTATCCAATACACAAGCACAAACACTGTATGCACTGCACAAATACAGACATTGCATTCACTACATACATTACATTCAATACACAAACACAGACGCTACAACCCTTACATCCACTACACAAACACACTCTAAATTCACTTTTTTTTGGCACACACAAACAAAGCATTCACTACTCACATATATATATATATATATAAAAGACAAAAAATCCTTGCACTCACGCTATATCCAATAGTGCCGCCAGCCAAAGCCTACAGGCTAGTTAAACCAGAGTATCCACAAATAAGGCTGCACTTGATCCTTTTAATGCAATAAAGTATATTGATTTTTATGAAGACCGAGGAGCGCAGCCTTATTTGTGGATACTCTCTCTCTTTCTCTCTCTCTCTCTCTCTCTCTCTCTCTCTCTCTCTCTCTCTCTCTCTCTCTCTATATATATATATATATATATATATATATATATACACACAATACACACACTATTTCCACTACACAAACACACACTCCATTTATTACAGACATTGCATCCACCACACAAACACACACACACACTCTGCATCCGTCACTATACACATACACACAATCTGCATCTACCATACACACACTACATTTACTATATACACACACACTGCATCCACTATAAATACACACTGCGTAGACTTTATTTACTCTTGTAGGGGCCCAGGCATTGAACTGTGTATGGGGCTCCAAAATTTATGATGGCAGCTCTGTTCCCAGCAAGTATAATATACAACAAATAGGTGGAGCGGTGAATAACAAATACTATAAATACTTCCCTCTCTTCAATATTACAGCCACAAAATAAAACTGAAACAGAAACAGAGGGAGATACAATAGTGTAAAACTGATAAAACAAAAGTTGTCACTATTTCTTTAAATAGCACACTCACAAGGATAGAGCCATAAAGTGACCTGGCTCTAGTCTGGATAGCAGTAGGATCCTTAAGGGAGATCCAAATCCCACTCCAGTAGATGAGAAGGATGATGCAGGAACAATAACTACTTCAAAAGTAATAATTTATTCCAGTAATAAAAGAAAAGCATAAAACCAGGTCCATATAATCACCAAAACGCGTTTCGCCAGATAGGCTTCCTCAGTTGGTGTTTATCTGCTTGTCTGAGGACCGAATGTAGAGCTTTTCCTTCTCCTATTGGAGGTAAAGCAAAATGCTTCCTGCACCTATACCCATTAACTTGTCCACAGCAAGAGTTCATCTTCATATCTGTGGACCAAATGCAGAGCTTTTCCTTCTTCACTTGGAGGTTAAGTTTTTGTGTGGGTATTTCTGGGAGTGCGGTGACATCAGACTTCATGTCAGCGCTCTTTGGCACTTCCTACTCAGCAGGTCAGCCTTATCTCTGATAAATACAAAAAAACACACAAATAGGATAAGTGCTAGAGTGTCAACTAAGTATAGATATGATAGCAGGAAGCAGTTACTAATGGTAAGGGTTACCCTCAACCCCTTACTGAAAGAAAACAATATGTCCAAAATATAGCTTGGGCCAATATAAAGTCCAGTTAGTTCACGATTGCTGGAGTCTGTTCTCAACTGGTAACTGTCCAGACTTCAAATGGTTGTTTGAAATTCAAATAGTTGTTTTAACCTACCAATAGTTTAGGAAAATCCATTGGAGATAATCTTACAGGCAACCTCTCAATTAAAATGGCTGCTGGTAATACAATATTGCATTATATTATAAAAATTAAGGAGCCCAGCTCATTTTCATTATATGTGAGACCTATACAGATGGTATTCCTATAGTGGGAGTTGGGCTAACCTGTGTCTCTTTCGTCTTTTGTCGTAGCCTACAGGCTGGACCCACCTGGGGCTATGCTCCTTGATGCCCAAACACTCTCCAGAGTGTGTCTCTGTGTTTTTTAATGACTGAAATAGATGAAAGGAGATCATAATAAAGTGCTGCCATCAGAAAGCTGAAAGAGTTATTTTTGAAAACTCAAGAACAGTTCCCTCATTGCCATATTTGGATATATTAGGTGGGTTGGGTGTAAAAAGCCAATTCAGATGTTAACTATAGGGTTTTCTTATCTGCTATTGTGCCCAAATAGAATACCCCTGGGGGAGATTTAGCTGATTTTACAAATAAATACATAAAAATAAATATAAGTAATGAGTAATATGATACCAAATGTGAAATCCAAGTAATAATAAAATAAAATGAAGGAGACAGCATTCACTTCCTCCACCCTATAATCATAAAATGGGGTTAAAACACCTTTTTAGCAGTTATAGACCCAATGAAAACATGCATGGATTTAATTATGTGTTTTTAATTGGGGTAGATCTAAAACAGCTTGCAAAAGCTGCAAATCTCTCGCCTGAAGCCTTTCCAAGCCCTCCCCTTTGTCCCCAGCCCAGACTTTCTGTAGTTGTCCAATCACTGACTTCCTAATGCAGCTCAGTGAGGTGCTCTGGGCAATTGCTGCCATTTGAGATTTGCTCCACTGAGCTAAGCAAACCAGGAAGTAACAGGACCTGTTGTATGATTGACAGCAAGGGGGGTATAACAAGCTTCATTTATAAAAGTGCCAATTTCTATTAAAAATCTGCACTGTTTGTAAAAAGAAAAAACAGACGACAAACTCTTCAATAAGTTCAAATGCTTCAGGTGTGTACAGTGCTCCTGATCAATTATACCTAAATTTAATTCAATATATATATATATATTATTTAGCAGCAAACTAGAAATAATTGTGTCATTTGTGGCAATACAGCTTCTTGAAAAATTACTGTAGTACAAATTTTGAAACAGCTGGATTGCCTTAATAACGAATTTACATCACAAAGGCATGCAACATTAGTGAATCATACATTAATGGAAAAACGAACATTGCATGCACGATTCTATGAATTAAATGTTAATTGGAATGTTACATTGGTGAAATCATCCATCTATTAGATAGGAGGATGGCTATGCACAGACATTCCATTAACCATGACAAAGACTGTTCCCCAGTTGGACTTAGTTTTACCAAGGAAAACTAATCCATTCAAGACATTAACAGCAAAATAATCAGAGGGACTTTCAAAAATTCCCCCGGAGAGAAGTTCATTTGAATCTCAAATTATAGTTTGTTTTTTAGATAAATTACTATATGTGGATTTGGGTTTCATGGCAAATTACCAAAGATAATTTGATCAACTCTGTTACGTTTATTTAACCGGCTTTAATGTGTATTTTTGTGTAGGAGTGCATATATATATATATATGTGTGTGTGTGTATGTATGTATATATGTGGAGATCAGTTTGTTCAGACACTGATTAAAAGGCATTTGATTTGTTCGTACCACCTGAAATTTTTGTGCTTAACTCTATCTATCTATCTATCTATCTATCTATCATGCATTTTAATCTACCACATATTCCCCCTCTCCAAATTATAACATGTACAATCATATGGATGGACTATAGCAGTGTACCCCAACCCAGTCCTCGTTGACCACCAACTGTCCAGAATTTATGTATTTCCCTGTTTTATTCCAATGGAGATACTGACAAAACCTGAACTGTTGGTGGTCCATGATGATTGGGTTAGGGAACACTGGACTATAATATTTTTAAATCCTTAGACCTATTCACATACCTTCCATAATGCTGTTTTTAGCCTTAGCCCCCAATTCCTGTATCACAACTTAAAGGAACACTATAGTGATAGTAACACAAACATGCATCCCTGACCCTAAAGTGTTTAAAAACACTATCTAGCCCCCCTACCCAGATGTCACCTTAAACTTACTAAAATCATACTTTTCAGCCAATCTCAATGCATTCCCATAGAAAAGCATTGGATTTGGCTGAGATTGTCAATTCTGATAATCTCAGCCAAAGAGGTGGGCTGGGGTGGAGACAAGCACTGCCCTGGACAATCAGCTTCTCCTCATGGAAATGTATTGAATCAATGCATCTTTGTGAGGAAAATTCAGTGTCTCGATGCAGAGGGTGGAGACACTGAATGTCAGTGGCACTGTCCCATGAAGCACCTCTAGTAGCCATCTGAGGAGTGGCCAGTGGAGGTATCCCTAGGCTGTAATGTAAACACTGCCTTTTCTCTGTGTCGCCATTGTTTACTGCAAAAAGCCTGCAGTTACATGTTATACTCACCAGAACAAGTACATTAAGCTGTAGTTGTTCTGGTGACTATAGTGTCTCTCTAAGCTTGAATTGCATGCTTAATTTTGGTACAAAAGAATTTAGACTTAATAAAAGAAGCAAAAAGGCTTGATATTTCTAAATAATTTTATTACCATTACAAAAAGTGTTATAGGATACAACAATACTGTTATTTTACACTATATAGTTATAGTCCCTATTTTTTTATTTTGGTTGTTCAAATAATTTAATAATTTTGGATAATCTTTTAAAATTTGTATTTTAAAGTATTAAAATATAACAAAATATATCATATAAAATATACCAATATATCAACAAATATCAAAATATTAAAATATTTTTAACAATATTAAATCAATAAAAAAAAAATGTTAATTTTAGGCCTATAATTGATAAGATATCTCTCTATTAAAGATGCAGGTCCAAATTCTGTTTTTATTTTCAATTGTCTATTTATGACTATAGTAACTTTAGGGTTTCCCCACGATGTATATCACACTCTCAGGTCTTTTGTTTCGAGATCAAATCCGTTGTTTTTGAAATTATAGTGAAACATCTGTATTCTGTCTTTGCTTTTGCGCAATATCAGAGCATATTGAGTCTATAAAGATTACACAGCGTGATTTGGTTATTCCTCAATTAATTTTCTAAGGTATTCATGGGTGCATTTAATTTGGCCCTAATGCCTCTTAAATGTATCATTGATTTGTGTACTTCATTTCAGGGAGTGCTATGGTTGTAATTCTGTTTGTGTTACTTTTCAGCCTCGGTGTCCTATGAAATTATTATGGTTTGATGTCTACGCTGTGAACTGTAATGGACTGAAAACAGTATTTGATAAAATTGAGTCATAAAAGGGAACTGTAAATATAGGTGACACAAAACACAGCCTTTTTTTTCCCCAACTTGTTGTTTTAGCTGACATTCAGTTTTCAATTCAACTCATAGTTTATTAAAAAGCTTATTTTGTTACTAATGTCTCAGGTTTTTTTTCCATTTGCTACCATTAAATTACTTAAATAACTGCTCCTTTATTTCTGTTTGTTCTAATGTATCCAATTCACTCTATATCAGACTTTTTTAATGATGCATTTACTTGTCCCTTAATTAAACTTCACTTTAAAGATGACCGATTTTCGTTTTCTGATGAAAATGCCATTCAATATGCATAATTGTTACCATTAACTTACTCAGATTTACCATTAGAATTCTTAACGCAACCAATTAAAGGTGTATAACGAGTCACTCAAAAATACTTAAGTATGTGTAATAACAATTAACTACAATGTTGTTGTTTTTTCAGACTATTCTGTAAAAGAAAAGAATCTGTCCAAAGACCAGTGTACTCTCACTTTCTTTTTTTCTTAATGGTATATTTGCAAATGTTTAAGAGGTACGATTCACAAAAATCTGTTACACAGCAAAGGGTGACTTTGCAGTTTAATGGAATTTGTCAAATATTTTTTTTTTAAATATGTCTCATCTATAAATATCATAATAATAATAATAATAATAATAATAATAATAATAATCTGTGCCCAGTGCCATATAAGTGATGCACGTCTTTGACACTGACTGTAAGTATGTGAAAAAGTAAGTGCAAAACTTTAAGAAGATCTATTCCGGTTAACATTTTAATTGCAATCATCATAATCCGTGCTCAATTTAAATACACAACATGATTCTCTAAGCATCTTGGAAAGTGTTTTAACCTCTTAAGGCCACATGATGGAAATATTCCGTCATGATTCCATGTTATTCCAGAAGTTGTGTCCTTAAGGGGTTAAAGAACAGCTTTCTCATATTAGATCAGAACACTAAAATAACAAAGAAAAACTGAAAGCATGAACCAGTGTTTCTTATATCTTACCATAAACAAGGAGAAACTTCTGAAAAGCTAGAACTCTAGTGGTTGCGAAATTCAGGTGCAGAGTAATTCGTGAGAAAGCAGCTTAGTCAAATTAGAACAGGAAAATCTAAGCTTACAATGTCCAACAGTCCTCTGCTTATCTAAGGGTATAGCTAAACAGGAAATGATTGGAAAGCTAGTCTTTCAGATAACATGGTCTCAAGTTGTACACTGTTTATTTGCCATCTTGTACTGGATTCAAGTCAATGAGGCCTGCTGAGAAGGAGTGTCATGTTTTGGAAGTATCTGAGTATCTGATGTAGCATTCATGTTGGTGTCTTCTGAAGTTTCTTGTGCAGTTCAATGAGACAAAGGAGTGGAGCACATATATTCCTGTTTAGAGTGGGTCCCACACTCTTTGGGCACTATGAAAACAGTAACTTAAAGGACCACTCTAGGCACCCAGACCACTACAGCTTAATGAAGTGGTCTGGGTGCCTGGTCCAGCTAGGGTTAACCCATTTTTTCATAAACATAGCAGTTTCCGAGAAACTGCTATGTTTATGAATGGGTTAAGCCTTCCCCTATTTCCTCTAGTGCTTTCCTATGTGACCGGCTGAATGCGCGCGCAGCTCTTGCCGCGCGTGCGCATTCAGCCGACGGGGAGGAGAAGAGGAGGATCGGAGGAGGAGAGCTCTCCGCCCAGCGCTGGAAAAAGGTAAGTTTTAACCCCTTTCCCCCTTCCAGAGCCGGGCGGGAGGGGGACCCTGAGGGTGGGGGCACTCTCAGGGCACTATAGTGCCAGGAAAACGAGTATGTTTTCCTGGCACTATAGTGGTCCTTTAATTTGACAACAGTTTAAACATGTATGCACATGCACAAGCTGTTCTTCGATCAGTAAAGTTAGTTAGAGTCTATTATTATTAAATACAGGATCGGTTCTGCAACTTCTGCCACATCTTTAACTGTTATTGTGGGTAGTCAGATCTTGGTCTTTTCTGAAACGCAGCATATCTGACAATTTCAGATGACAATTTCCAGTAGAAAGTCAGAAAGTTTGTCTGTTGTAGCTGTCAGGTCAAGTGACGACGAAGACATTTGTTTGATGCTCCTGGTTTTGAAAGAGATCTGCTGCAACTCAAGCCCTCTTACCCCAATTTGATGTTCTACTTTCCCAAGTAGTGTCAGTTGAGTGTTCAGTGGTGTCAGTGAAATATTCTCACTTTTAGCTTATTGTTCTACAATTGCGTTTTACAATCATTTATAACATTGGCCACACCACAACATGTATGTTACCATAGCTGTGGGAAAGCTATTCTGATATAAACTATTTCTTCTCATATCAATTACTGTTTTGACCCACAATCTCTCTTTAACCAGCCCGACATTGCCATATCATAGCTAATAATTCCAATATGTCAATTAAAATTGTACCTCTGAATAATTCCCATAGATTTACTTGTATTTTTAATATTTTTAAAGCTTATCTTTTAGTTTATCCACAATTTTATTATGCGAACGAATAAGAGGTCTAGTGACACATTGCTGATGTTCTAATCAAGGTCACTTTAAATCCCTAAACCTTTAGTAGTCTTATTGTGCAGCTTCATTCATGGATAGGTGACCCCGTAAAGTGACCTCTTTGAGCTCATAGTGTGGGGTAAAAGGCTGCGTACATCCACATGCTGTGTGCAGGTGTCCATCTTTGTGCTTTTCTTTCTGTGAACGGGTCTGTCTCTGTTAAAAAACATGCATACGCTAAACATTCAGCTCCACCTGCTAGAGGAACTGAGCTGAACATAATCACTGAACATAATTTGTTTCTAGAACTCATGGTAGTTTAAAAGTTACTTTTCACTGCAATATGCTACGATGGAGGAGGGCATTAAATAAATGACCTCTTTTTGTTATATAGACAGATGTATTTAAACCGTGTCAGACTAGGTAAAAGATAGCCAAGAATTTTTTAGATCGTGCAAGTCCCCCACTCCCCAAACTGATATTTGGAATTTTGTTAAAAAGAAAAAAATCCCAAATTATTTGCTGTGTATTCGCTTGGAGAATTCTGCTGTAGCTCAACATCCATGGAAGTGAAAATTAAACTTGACAAGATCTTTCAGAGCTTGGACATCGTCCCATATTATATCCACAGTGAGCGGCTAGGCTTGTTTGAACTTACTGACAACTTCCAACTGGGTTTTAATGGGGACTATGCTCTAGTGTATTTTTTTACAGTTCTTCAAAAAGTGAAGATGGTACTGTGGGTGTTCTATCTAACTTTCCAGTATGCATTGCCTTCCTAGTGGCAAAGTATCGTGGGACTGGGCACTTTGATGCCATGACAAGCTCACTCTAAGGTGGCCTGAACTAAATCTAGATGAAGAACACAGCCATAACTGAAAGGGTTCACTGTGCTCCCCATAGAGATGCATTGGGCTAATCCATCTCTGTGAGCACATGCTGATTAAAGCAGAGAGGCAATTGCTGTGCTTGCGCACTAGCTCCCTCAATGCTTCCCTATAGAGAAGCATTGGACTGACAGAGATTATTTTCATTAATGATATCAGTCGGGCATAGCAGTGGCTGCGAGGAGACTAGCGCAGCAAGTTACTAAAGATGAGTAAATCAACTTTAGATATTGTTTTTGGGGTGGCTCAATAATCTAAATTGTTAGTAAAAACAATGTATCTCTAATGCTAAAGTGTTTCCTTAACGTTTATGCAACATGCAGTGACTTGACAATAGAATTACAATATTCAGGAAAATATAGCCACATTTAAAAAAGATCTTACAGCCAAACTATTTTTTTTTTTGTTCCACCTTAAAAATTATTGCCTACGTTTTGCAATTCATACTTTCAACTCAGCATCATAATTGACTAATTAGTGAATAAAACCATTTGAAACACCACACAAGATGTGTTTATTCGGTACGTCATATTTTCTCATTGAAACCTCAGACTTTGCAGAGAGATCACACAGCATGTTTTACATGCTGCTTCTGTTAAGGCTAATTAAGCAGTTCTGCGTAAATGAGGAAGCATCTTAAAACAATGAAGTACAGAAATTGCAGCCAGATTATAAAGAGGGTCAATGACATTATATGCACTTTTAGGAATGCTGCCCAAAATTAATGCTGTACATTAAAATTCTTCTATTCTTCAAAATTAGCTAAACATGTAATTATTTTGTTAAAAAAAAGTATAATGTAAATTACACTGGGCTGAAATACAACAATCGGAGCTCTGAGGGTTTCTGCTCAATTATGCTCAGAAAATGAGTATTTTATAGACTCGGATAGATGTGTAAGGAAATAGCTTTTGTGATCAGTTTGGTAAAATATGGAATGTACAAATAAGATACACATGGAGGTTTAGGGGCTGATTGCATGGTCCTGAGAAAGAGCAAAGCCTTGACTTGCTGAACTCTCTGAATTAAAAAACAAACACGAAAGTTATGTATTATGACAAAAGAAAATGCTAAAGTCTTTGATCTAAGGTTTATACAATTGTTTTGTAGTGTGTTTGTAACAAACAAGAAACATAACTTTCCATTTACTTTTATATTTTGTAAATTAAAATATTGATTTCTACAGTTTTTAGTGTATGGATGTAAAAATGTACTTTCAAAATAATAGGGGACATTCCCATATAGTGGTTCGGCTCTACCAAGTTTTATTAACAAAAAAAATAAAAATCAGGAAAACTAATCAGACTAATGCAATTTGTTTGGTTACGATTCGGCTAAATTACATTTGGTCCAAATTCTGATGAATTGCAGTTGGTAATTAAACAAATCTCCAATTTTAATTGTATCCATAATTAGGACAGAACCAAGGGAACTGTCTCAGATAGGCCTCATGACACCTGTGACAAAACCCTGCAATTTCTTTGTCCCAATTATTTTCCCTGCATTCGGGAGATTGATCTACCGAACACCGACCATCCCCTTGGCACATTTAACTTCAAAGAAAATCACAAACTTAAGTGCTCTCTCTGTGTGGCCGCCGTTCACATAACCTTGAAAAATCTTGACTCCTGAAAGCAGGCAGCGGTACTTGGTCGTCGAATGTCTGGAACTCTAAGTTGGACACTCAACCCCGTGAACACCAGTAACTTTGTACTAACGACTGCTTCTATTCTCGACAAGCCAAGAGAGTGTTATTTGGTGGGAATGTTCACACAAACCAGGCAAACAAACGCTACCTATGAGCCAGGGGAACTGTTCGACATTTTGTTCGTTTTGGAACTCCCGAAAGTGACCAACCGCTACCACTTTTTCTCTGGAAATATGTATTTTGGGCAGATATCACATGTGCAGTCAGTCAAAACTTTACCCCGATGGCGATTCGGCTGTGTTCGTGGGAGTGCTATTTGGATATGTTGGGCGCTCAGATCCAGGCTATACAGGGAGATAATACTTGTGGGGGTTCCTATGTGTGTTATGTGTATTTTGGGGTGTTTTATGTTTTATTTTCTGTACCTCTAGTGCCTGGGAGACAATTGGTTTAAGCAAAACACACTCAATTATCGCCCAGACACAGAGACTCCTGGGTGTATTTTACCATACTTTTGTTGGAAACCCCATGCTGGGGGTCTGTGTATAAAAGTGGGCCATCTGGTCATAATAAAGCATTTCTGTTGTACCCGTCATCAAGTCTCGACTAATGTTTGGATATGTGAACGATGAACCAATAGATTTTTCCCACGACTTGCTTGGATTTCGGGAGAGTACAAACTAGCGTACTACGAGAACAGGTTATTTTCACTCAAGCCTCTAACAGTTCGGGAGTGTGCAAACAAACGTATCATACGAAATACAAGGGGTTCGTTACAACACCTTTTTCCAAGTTTATCCCCTCATCTTAGTATGCCTTCTCACATTATAGATAGTTTGAATACAGAGAACTCATAATGTTATCCACTTTCTGGGTCTCTCTCTTTTTAAAACTATGACATTCTGAAATCATTTTAAATATAATTAAATACTGAAATTATTTTTCAGGTGAAAAAAACTATCTGGGCCATGAGCTCAACACATAATTTGATTTCACCTCCCAAAACTTCACCCATGCCACTCCCAAACTCTACCACTTAATGCCTTGTGGTTGCATACAGACAAACACAGATACACACACAGGCACATACAGGCACACACAGACAAGCACAGACAAGCACAGACAAACACAGACTGACACACACAGAAACAAGCACAGACAGACAAATACAGACTGGCATATATAGGTACAGAGAGAAACACACAGGAATTCACAGACAGATAGGCATTTACAGGTATGGGCACATCCAGTGGCGTAGCAAGGGATAGGGGCTGTCTGCCTCGGATGGCTCCTTCCCATATTGCCAGTGACCCTCCTCCCACCGTCTGAGTGAGACCTGGCAGAGAGCCTGCTCTGCTTGCCAGGTCTCCTCCGCAGGGCCGCCATCAGAAATTTTGGGGCCCCTAACACAACTGGGACCCCTGGGGGCCCATCTCCAAGCCCGCCCTCAAGGCCCACCTCCAAATAGGTCCCACAGGACCCGCCTCCAAATACGCCCACAAGGAACTAGTGTTGGTAGAGTGGATACAGGGTGTGTGTTTGTGGATGTTGTGTGTGTTTGTGTATTGGTTGCAGTGTATGTAAAGTACAGTGTGTGTTACTGCATGTGTAGTGGATGCCGTGTGTGTAGTGGATGCACTGTGTGTATATTGTGTGAGTGTGTGTGTGTGTATATATATATACACACACAATGTGTGTTTGAATGTAAGCATATTTTTAATGGAGTATGTGTGTAAATGTTAGTTTTTGAATGCAGGTGTGCATTTCTGTGTAGTTTATACACTTCCACACACACTGAAACACATACACTGACACACACATACACACACACACATATACCTAAATGGACACACACAAATGCACAGACACTCAAACACTGACACAGAATACACACAGAGACACAAGCACAGATACACACAGATACAAAAGGACAAAAAATCAGACACATACTGAAACAGACATACCCACACATAGAGGCATACATGCTGACACACATACTGAAACAGACATTCAGACACACAGACACATACTAACATACATACAGACACATACTGACACACAGACACATGCTAACATACATACAGACACACACACATGCATAATGACATACAGACACACACATACATACACGCATACACACACAAGCATACCGATTTTGGCACTATATAAATGATAATAATAAAAATAATAACATACATACTGACATACATACACACACATACATACACACACACACACACATACTTAGTGACACACACATACATACATACTGACATGCATACATACATACAGACAGACACACACCCACATACTGACACACACACACACATACTAACACACACACACATACTGACATACATACAGATACTGACATACATACACATACAGACACACACACACATACATACATACAGACACACACAAACACACACACTACATCCACTGCACAAACACACACACTGCATTAGCTGCACACTACATCCACTACACAAACACACACTACATCCACTACACCAACACACACTGCATACACTACACAAATACACACACTACATCCACTGCACAAACACACACACTGCATTAGCTACACACTACATCCACTACACAAACACACACTACATCCACTACACCAACACACACTACATCCACTACACAAATACACACACTACATCCACTACACAAACACAGACACACTGCATCCACTGCACAAACACACAAACTGCATCCATTACACAAACACACACACTGCATCCACTACACAAACACACACACTGCATTAAGTACACACTGCATCCATTACACAAACACACACTGCATCCACTGCAAAAACACACACTGAATCCATTACACAAATACACACACTGCATTGGCTAAGCATACACACTGCATCCACTACACAAACATTGCATCCACTACAAATACACCGCATCCACTACACAAATACACATATCCACTGTACATACAACATCCACTATAGGCAGGAATGGGGGAATAAACATAATTAAACAAAAGAAAAAATGCTCACACACCACTTAATCCCACTAACACTGCATGCACTTCACACACACTGTATGCACTACAAACATACACACTACATCCACTACACAAACACACACTGCATCCACTACACAAACACACACTGCATCCACTACACAAACATACACTCTACATACACTATACATAGACACTGTGCATCCACTACACACACTGCATACAATACACAACCACAAACATTACATTTAGGACTCACAGACATTACTGCATCCACTAATCACACTCACACTATGCATTCCAAACACACACTGCATACAGTACACAAACACAGACACTATATTCACTATACAATCTGCATAACAAATGTTGGCCTGTTTTTGTGGTCGTTTTTTTTGGTTGGTGGGGGGGGGTGAGCAGCATTTAATTCTTGGACCCACACAGCACAATGTCTTGGGCCAGCCCTGTATATAACCCACATTAGCAGCTCTACTGATTTGCAGTTATCTGCTGGCTGTGGGAAATATAACCTATTTACTGGGAAAGCTGTTTGTTTACAGGGTTTAAAAACACTTTTTTTCTGTGAGTGCACTATTCAGCATGAGTAAATTAAGAGAGTGGTTTCTTAATTTTCACCTGTGTGACTTTGTGTGCACCTATATAACCCACAGAAGCAACTCATAGAGCTTGCTCACTAAGATCTTTTCTGTCAGTCTATATTTAAGTAGGAGTCTGAACGCACAGGAGTTCAAGCAACACAGAAGTTATAACACCCTATTAAATTTTGCAATTGTTTTAGTGGGGCACGTATGAGTGTTAGCAGATTGTAATTTTGACTCAGTGCACAGTCTGCTGTATGTATGAATGCCTGGAAGAGTCTTTTCAGGGTCCATACCTCTGTTGCAGGGTACATACCTCTGTGGCTTTTCTGGAAGCTCAGGTTGGAGATCTGGAGAAACAAATTGCAACACTGAGGCGGATTGACAACCTTGAAAATATGATTACTGCACACTGAGCACAGTTTAGTGGGGGCAGGTTGGGTGGTGGGAAGAGGTGAGCTAGCTGTGGAAAAGGCAAGTAGCTCGGTGACATTTGAGTGAGGTAGCAGAGGGGAGGGAAGAGGAAGGGCATTGCCAGTCCTGATTTTGTATATCACAACAGATTTGCCCCTTGAGTGAAGATGTTGGGAGAATCAGCTCAGGAGTGGCTGAACTGGAGGCTGTACAGGAGTAAGTTGCTTCTTCAAACAGCCAAGGGAACAGCTTTTCTAATATGGATGGGATCCAGAATGAAAGAAAAAGCTAGACAGGTTGTGGTGGTAGGGGATTCTTTTATTAAAAGAGTAGATTGGGTAATCTGTCACACTGATCGCATCAACTGAACAGCGCGTTACGGGTGCTTGAGTGACAGAGTGGATGGATTATTGGGAGGGGCTGGGGATGACCCCTTCTGTCACTTATGTGGATCTGGAGCCGATGTCCCTCGGCGCTGGCTCGGGTCTGCTTTAACTCCTCCCCCGCCGACGTCAGCAGGCAGGGGAAACCTTATGCGCATGTGCGGCAATGGGATTTTCCCATTGGAAAGCATTATTCAATGCTTTTCTATGGGGATTCCGGTAAGTGACAGAAGGGTGCATACCGTGAGGACGCCCAGAGTCATTTAGGCAACTAAAATTCATGAGGACGTCCAGAGTCATTTAGGCAACCAAAATTTGCCTAAAAACCCGGAAGTACCTCTAGTGGCTGTCTGGTAGACATCAACAAGAGGAGGAGTTAACACTAGCAGGTAATTATTGCAGTTTATTAAAAACTGCAATAATTACATGCTCAGGGTTAAGGGTGGTGGGACAGCACACCCAGATCACTTCAATGAGCTAAAGTGGTATGAGTGCCTATAGTGTCCCTTTAAAGAAATTGTATATGAAGATACAGGTGAGGATGTGGATGCCTTATGGGTGGAAATATGCATAGGAGGAAACAGCGGATATCCATTAACATTAGGAATATGTTACAAGCAACTGCTATCTCAAATTAATAAAGTTGTACTTACATCTACCTTGATTGTCCAGAAGAGTCAAAATAAGTCTTTGCGTCCCCATTCCCTGATCTCTTAGTGGCAATATACCATGAATGTCACATAACGTTCCTAAAAAGGTATGTGAAGATTTGCCTTACGTATTTTTTTCTAAGTGCCTATTTGTATGTATGTTAGACAAAATTAAATGCAGGAACATGTGACGGACAGGCAAAAATGTGATCACTTGCGTGACGATTAGTTGATTGAAGAGTTTTCGAACAGCTTTTTATGTCATTTATGAAAAACCCATCCACTTGATTCCAAACCTATTTGCGACTTGAATGTGAACTAAAGATAAAGCAAGTTATTCAGTTTTGTTCATTCTCTTACATGTTTGTTTTTGGCTTGTTTGGCATATTTTTAGTTTATCTCCACCAAAGTCTAAAGGAATATCCAGATGTGGACCTCTTGCTTATTGTTAAAACAAACAAAACAAAAAAATAACAGCTGTATCTAATGAGGCCTATTTGAGGATGGAATTATTGTCTGGAATTGCTGTATATCCCAAACAAAGGTTACCTGGCATTCGTGACTTTCACTATGGGTGGAATCAGTCCGATGGTTAAATGCTGCAGGTCCCTCTGTTTGAGACCTGCATGGGAACTAATCATGAGGGCAAACGATTAACCTTTTGCCTGTTTTCAGTGTTTGTGTCTCTGCATCACTTCAAAAAAAACCTCAGTTTAAAAATTCCTTATAAACAGAATGATACAATAGGACTATAGCATCATTAAAGACTCACAAAATTAGGTCTGCCATTAAAAAAAAGTATTATGTATTTTGGGGATGCATTGGTTTGTGTGTATGGGGAGGAGAGGGGTTGCGTTCAGGTGTTGATAACTCCATGTTGTAGCAGTTGTAAATATATTAGACTTTTTAAAATGTTTTTTTCCTTTTGCAAAATTATTTTTTAAAAAAAGGAAGAATAGCAGGAGTAGTTTTAATTGAAAAAAAACCAAAATGTATTTTAAAAAAGAAAATTAAAAAAAAAGTAAAATAACTCTAAACCACTGAAACAAAATTGGTGTAAGCGGAAATGGTACAGCAGTTACCTAACATGAACACTGGCAATCTCCTTTTTCCAGTTTGTTTCAAGTCCCTCTGGTAGTAGCTAGCTAGCTAGTTATAGGAGCAAACTAAACCTAGTGTCAGACACAGCGAGGGTAAAACACACAGTATGACTGCTCTCCCTCAGTAGCTGTAATCAAAGTGTCAGGAAGGATCCTACTTGGAATTATCTAGATTTTAATTTTTTTTACTGCTCCTCCTTTCCCCCCTCTATTACTCACTTCTCACTTAATCTGTGGTTAAAATCAACACTTAGTGGCTGTCCCCTAGGCACTGATCATCTTTTTTTCTGTCAGCCATCTTTTTTCCCACCTCTTAATTGGACAGGTGATACTCACATCGTTGGAAAGGCCTTTTGTCTATCGTGGCAAACACGGCTTCTTTTTTGCCCGAGCCCTCCAAAAATCATCTTATTCTTCATTCCCTCCCTCTTTTTGTTTCGCACTTGTGGGTCTCGTCACCATGATGCCCGTTCTGGTATGAAAGTTGAAGTGTTTCTGAGATCATATAACATGGTACCAAAAAGTTTGTGGTGGAACCAAACACTATATATATATCTATGCACATATACACATTTCATCTCCCCTCAACCAGGGGAACAATCTCTTTGTGTCCATGAGGCACAGTTAGGGAGATTGCTTTATTCAAATACTGACCTTGAAGAAGGCATAGGGATTTTTCTTTTTACTGAGACATAATACATAAAGACATGTTCAGTCAATAGTAGAAAGATTGGGAAGAGAGATGTAGCACAGTGGGGTAAATATTTTATTGATTTTTGTTCCATCTTCACCCAGAGAGACTTACCCTTTCAAGTTTGGTGTAAATCTAACTTCTGATTTTAATTTATGATAAGGGTGCAGTGAAATCTGTATTTTTCTTTTCACAAACCAGATAGCAGTGGGGCACAGCTAGTTTTATCTGTCCAAATAATCACATTGAATCTACTTCCTAGAACTTTTACTGTGTCAAATGTTCCATGGGAGTTTGATGCTGGTGATTAAGCTGAAACCCCGAGATATGATGGTATTTCTTAGCTTACTACAGCCATTTGGCCCACCTAATCTTGTGTACTCTGCTGTGATATGTCTAAGCTTATCTGACCCATGTCATTGTAAGATATACAGAGCTTCCTTATGTTTACAGGAGGCCACCTGTGCATGCTCATCGGATACTAAGTCACAACTTGTTGTGGTGGATGGCAGAAGTAAAAGTGAGTCACGGTCAAGCACTTTGGTAGCCAGTTTTACCAGAGTTAATTTTGTCCATATTGATTGGAAAGGACACACTTGACGTTTTTGACTCTGTACTTCAAAGCTATTTTTCATGTTATGTTCCTCTGTTTGAGCTATAGAAGATTTAGTGGTGCTTGCCATTTAAACACTTTCAGAGTGAGTGTTGTTATCTTACAATTACTTATTAAAAAAGCTTGCTGAGGTTATGTGATGCCCACTGCCGATCTGAACCTGGATTTTTTTCTTAAATTGTCATTCTGTGCTCCTAACATTCCACAGTAGAAGAACGAAGAACTATAACAAGACTTACAGACGCATTTTCCCAATATGCCCACAGGATTTATAGGTTAATTAAATATCTTTTATATGTCTTATTACGTCTGCAGTGCACAGTGTTTAACACTGGCCACACAAACATGCACTAAACTCTGACTTAACAGAATTTTAAATCCCCAATGGCAAACTTTAGACAAAAAATATATATAATATAGTAACAGTCTGAATCTTTTTTTTTTTTTTTTTGTCAATCTCTTTTTTATTGAGGCATTAAGTTGTATGGGATACAAAATGAAGCAAGGGAAACAACAATTTACCATACATAACAGGTATAATACAATATATTTTAAGACAATTCTTAGTAACTTTGAGCCTCTGTTTATGTTAAGAGAAACATTTCTAGGGAGAATAACGTAGTGGTAGTAAAACGGTTGATATTGTGTGAAGGTATTCTGTAACTATGTATCAATCGTGCTTCTCGGTAGTCTAAGCGAACAGCAGTATGTGGAGCTTAGGTATCTCAAGTAGTGAAAATTTAGGAGATTACAGGGTGTTCGGTCGAGGGCAAGTGAGAAGCACATGGGCACTCACTCCACCTCCCTGCGAGCGTGTAGTGAAGTTTAGGCCATACGCTTTGCCTGGGCTCGCTTTAAATGAGTGCGTTAGCGTTGTTCCCATTATTAGGTGATAATTTGGGTTGGGTGTACCTAGCAGATATTAGCCTGGTTAGTGAGCGCTACCCAAAGCGGTGAACCCTTACGGTGGACCAGCTAGACGTCTGGGTTGTGGGCACGTATGTGCATTGCAGTCCCCTTGTTGCATGGGTATTTTGCGAACCTGCAGCCCTTACGGTGTGTAAGCCTACCCGGCACTTGTCGGTATGTCTCCCCCAGTGGGTCGTTTGTAACCAGGGGTCAGTTATCTGTCGGGGGTCTAAGAGCTAAGTGTCATGAGTGATGAAGTATTCGTGGGGGATCTCAGTTCTCCTCGTCCCGGTAATCCCCAGGCTCCCGTGGGTGCGCTGTTTCCCCGTCATGCGTCGGACGTCGGCCTCTACCATGTTTGTGTCGTTGACGTCGTGTTGCGTCGCCCGGGTCAGGGGGCTCTCATAGCTGAGTGTCCACCTTGCATTACCCTACTTCTCTCCCACTCACGGAGTGTCTATCAGGGGGCATCGGTCGCTTGTTAAACGATGTACGGGGTGGCGCTGATTCTAGGTATTCGGTTGGCCCAGCTTTAGCCGCTTTAACTGTACCACTTACGCCGAGTGCTAGACGTATTCGGTACAGGAGGCCTAGAGGTGTGAGAGTAGGTAAAGCCGAGTGAGCGGAGTTACAGGAAGTAAAAGAGAGGAGGGGGGGGAGTAGGGAAGCTTGACGGCATAAGGGAAGGGTGGTAGAGGACAATGCGATCTTCCCGAGGCTCCCCCCAACCGGGTGCAATCCCTCTCTGCGCACAGTGGCTCCCCCAGGGCTCCCAAGATCGTCCGAAGCCCTCGAGTGACCTATGCAGTCCCACCTCCAGCTGTGAGGGTGGCGTCAGTCGTTGGTTGTGTCCTGGTAGTGCGATTCTCAGCGATGAATATGAGCCATGGGGTCCAGATCTGTAGGTAGCGTTCCGTGGTGTTCCGGAGAGAGGCCGTGAGTTGTTCCATGCCATGAATCTCCTCCACTTTGTCCATCCAATGGACAAGAGTGGGCACCTGAGGGGACCGCCACCTGACCGGGATAAGGAGTTTGGCCGCATTTAAGAGGTGTCTGGTCAGGGATTTTTTATAGCACGATAAGGGTAGGGGGGTGTGGTGAAGGAGCATCTGCAGCGGTTGAAAGGGGAGCTCTATATCCATAATGTCCTTAATCTTTGCATGGACTTGCCTCCAGTACGTGGCTATCTTTTCGCATGACCACCAAATATGCAAGTCAGTACCCGTCCCCGTGCCGCACCTCCAGCAGACCTCGGAGACCTCGGGCATCATCCGGTGAAGCCGCGCCGGGGTCCTATACCAGCCAGTCAGTAGTTTATAATTTAGCTCTTGGTGTTTGGAACTCATGGCGCTTTGGTGAGTCAGGATGTGGATTTTCATCCACTGGGGGGCTGAAAGTGTGATGCCCGCGGCCTCCTCCCAGCGTGTCATGTGTTTCATGAGTTCCCCGGCGGATGCGGTGATGATCATTTTGTAGAGGGTGGAGACACCGCGGGTCATATGGGTTTGTTGCACGCACAGGTCCTCGAGTTCCGTGGTCGGTCTATGGAACAGGCTGCATCCAGTATGTGACTGATAGTAGGTCTTAACTTGGAAGTACCGGAACCTGTCCAGGCCCAATGGCACTGCCTCTCGTATCAGGTCCGGGAGTTGCTTTAATGCGTCCTCTGTACACCACTGGTGCATGAACGTCCATTCCGCCTCTCCAAACGCTTCGATATCCCGGGGAGTGAGGCTCCCCGTGAGTTCCGGGTTGTGTGTGATCGGGGTGAGCGGTCCCGGTGTGGTGGACAGCTGGAGCTTCGTCCGTATGGAGTACCAGGTCCGCAGTGTCGCCCCTATCAGAGGGTGGTTCCGAGTCCGCGAGTTGGTCAGCGGGCCCCCAAGCCAGGCAACTGCCGGCAGGGCGCCTCCCAATTGTGCCCGTTCCAGGTTGATCCAGGCCTTGTCGGTCCTGGGCACGTGCCAGTCCACTACTCTGAGCAGGTGTGTCGCCCTGTGGTAGTCCCTTATAGAAGGTAGGCCGGTTCCACCCCGGTCTTTCGGTTGGTGAAGGTGGATTTTCTTCAGTCTGGGGGTCTTAGCGCACCATATAAACTGTGTGATGGCTGCCTCGACGGATCTAAAGAAGGAGATAGGTGGGTTAATGGGGATGGTTTGGAATAGGTAAAGGAGGCGGGGTAAGAGGTTCATCTTTATAGCATTTATTCTTCCGAACCAGGACACACAGAGGCTCCCCCAGCGTGTCAGGTCCGTTTTCAGAGTGTGAAGCATCGGGGCGAAGTTGTGGGTGTAAAGTTGGGTAAAGTCCGCCGAGAGCCATATTCCCAGGTATTTAATTTTATGGCAGCACCACGTGAAGGCGAATTGGGTCTTCAAGTGTTCGGTCAGCTCCTTGTTAATGGTGATGGGGAGTGCCTCTGACTTATCCGTGTTCAGCTTCATATTAGACACCCTACCGTATTCCGCGAAGGCCTTCAGCAAGTTCGGCAAGGACACCAATGGATAGGCAACGAAAAACAGCATGTCGTCGGCATAGGCCGCTACCTTATGCGTCTGCCCGTAGACATTGAGTCCCCCAATTCCCCCGTACAGTCTGAATCTTTTAAACTAGATGTATCATTTGGATTTCATTCCCCTTCTTTTCGGAGTTTAGTGGACAAACCCTAAAGTAGAGCAGAACTTTTCTCATGAATTTGAAGAATTTCTCATAAATTTCTCATGAAATGAAAGAACATTTCTCATGAACTGGATGCTTTAAAGAGTTAAAGTTTCCATGTATGTCACAGTTCTTATTGCCTTCAGGATATGAGCAATACATTTAAAATTATTGAGAAGAAATACCGTTAATTAAGCTGTTTCCTTTGAACAACCGTTCTAGGTATCCCAAATTCTAGCCTATTTTGAAATCTGGACTGTGGCCATATATTCATGACTTTAAATAAAATGAAAAAGGATACAGAGGCGCTAAAACTAGTAAACCCTGGTGCAGCAAAAATTTCCCAAGTGTAGTATCACCAAATACACTTACAAACGTGATATAATAAAAGAAAACGGAAAAGGTGATTAGCGCACACAGAATATAATGAGTGTTACCTTGTATTAAAATAATGTCTCAGGTAATCATACACATTAATTTTTTCTTATAACCTGTATGTAGATAAATAAAATATACATAGTGTAACCTGTATATATACAATATAGAAAATGAGGAAAGTTTGAGTCTCACTCACAATTTCCAGAGCCTTTTAAAAGTTGGCTCTAAACTTATGGCACTTCTCGTCTCTTCCTTGAGACACAGGTAACTGGTATAGGTGTAACCACAGGAACCTGGAACTGATGAATTAGCAGCAGACTCCAAAAATAAGTAAGGAGTTATTTTTATTGTAACAAATTATAAAAATAAAAGATGTATATATATACAAAAAAATTGTTTAAGAATCTTGAGCTCAGAGTGAAATTAGATGCACTTGAGAAAGACCTTTGTATGGTTGAAACGTGTTGTGCTTTTAAACTATTTTTTTGTATATATATACATCTTTTATTTTTATAATTTGTTACAATAAAAATAACTCCTTACTTATTTTTGGAGTCTGCTGCTAATTCATCAGTTCCAGGTTCCTGTGGTTACACCTATACCAGTTACCTGTGTCTCAAGGAAGAGACGAGAAGTGCCATAAGTTTAGAGCCAACTTTTAAAAGGCTCTGGAAATTGTGAGTGAGACTCAAACTTTCCTCATTTTCTATATTGTATATATACAGGTTACACTATGTATATTTTATTTATCTACATACAGGTTATAAGAAAAAATTAATGTGTATCATTACCTGAGACATTATTTTAATACAAGGTAACACTCATATAGTCTGTGTGCGCTAATCACCTTTTTCCGTTTTCTTTTAATATATTCATGACTTACTTACCAAAGTCTAAATGACCCAGTGATTACCAACAATAGTTGGGACCCATCCAGGATCATTCAGTGTCTGAGATTTGTAATCCAGTTTCCAAATGGACTTTAATTGCTTAAACCCAGATCTACAGGGAGTGCAGAATTATTAGGCAAGTTGTATTTTTGAGGATTAATTTTATTATTGAACAACAACCATGTTCTCAATGAACCCAAAAAACTCATTAATATCAAAGCTGAATATTTTTGGAAGTAGTTTTTAGTTTGTTTTTGTTATAGCTATGTTAGGGGGATATCTGTGTGTGCAGGTGACTATTACTGTGCATAATTATTAGGCAACTTAACAAAAAACAAATATATACCCATTTCAATTATTTATTATTACCAGTGAAACCAATATAACATCTCAACATTCACAAATATACATTTCTGACATTCAAAAACAAAACAAAAACAAATCAGTGACCAATATAGCCACCTTTCTTTGCAAGGACACTCAAAAGCCTGCCATCCATGGATTCTGTCAGTGTTTTGATCTGTTCACCATCAACATTGCGTGCAGCAGCAACCACAGCCTCCCAGACACTGTTCAGAGAGGTGTACTGTTTTCCCTCCTTGTAAATCTCACATTTGATGATGGACCACAGGTTCTCAATGGGGTTCAGATCAGGTGAACAAGGAGGCCATGTCATTAGATTTTCTTCTTTTATACCCTTTCTTGCCAGCCACGCTGTGGAGTACTTGGACGCGTGTGATGGAGCATTGTCCTGCATGAAAATCATGTTTTTCTTGAAGGATGCAGACTTCTTCCTGTACCACTGCTTGAAGAAGGTGTCTTCCAGGAACTGGCAGTAGGACTGGGAGTTGAGCTTGACTCCATCCTCAACCCGAAAAGGCCCCACAAGCTCATCTTTGATGATACCAGCCCAAACCAGTACTCCACCTCCACCTTGCTGGCGTCTGAGTCGGACTGGAGCTCTCTGCCCTTTACCAATCCAGCCACGGGCCCATCCATCTGGCCCATCAAAACTCACTCTCATTTCATCAGTCCATAAAACCTTAGAAAAATCAGTCTTGAGATATTTCTTGGCCCAGTCTTGACGTTTCAGCTTGTGTGTCTTGTTCAGTGGTGGTCGTCTTTCAGCCTTTCTTACCTTGGCCATGTCTCTGAGTATTGCACACCTTGTGCTTTTGGGCACTCCAGTGATGTTGCAGCTCTGAAATATGGCCAAACTGGTGGCAAGTGGCATCGTGGCAGCTGCACGCTTGACTTTTCTCAGTTCATGGGCAGTTATTTTGCGCCTTGGTTTTTCCACACGCTTCTTGCGACCCTGTTGACTATTTTGAATGAAACGCTTGATTGTTCGATGATCACGCTTCAGAAGCTTTGCAATTTTAAGAGTGCTGCATCCCTCTGCAAGATATCTCACTATTTTTGACTTTTCTGAGCCTGTCAAGTCCTTCTTTTGACCCATTTTGCCAAAGGAAAGGAAGTTGCCTAATAATTATGCACACCTGATATAGGGTGTTGATGTCATTAGACCACACCCCTTCTCATTACAGAGATGCACATCACCTAATATGCTTAATTGGTAGTAGGCTTTCGAGCCTATACAGCTTGGAGTAAGACAACATGCATAAAGAGGATGATGTGGTCAAAATACTCATTTGCCTAATAATTCTGCACTCCCTGTAGAAGGTGAAAATCTGGGATGTATGTACATGAGTGTATATAACATAATAAAAAGCGCTCAACGTTTCCTCTCACCACTAGAATTTAATGAGTGAATATTTATCCCTAGATAAGAAGAAATTAACAAATAGTGTATGTGCATTTATTTAAAGGACCACTATAGGCACCCAGACCACTTCAGCTCAATTAAGTGGTCTGGGAGCCAGGTCCCTCTAGTTTTAACCCTGCAGCTGAAAACATAGCAGTTTCAGATTAACTGCTATGTTTCACTGAGGGTTAATCCGCTAGAGGCGCTTCACAGTGAGAAGACGCTGGACGTCCATAGGAAAGCACTGAGTAATGCTTTTCTGTGGGCGATTTGAATGAGTGCGTGG